TTCAGCATTATGTCCTCTGGGTCTTACTTGACTGGTAGAGAAATGTGGTTTCCTTTTTATTTTGTGATATTAGGATGAACACAGTGCCTCGACTATGTTAAGCGGGGTTTACATGCAATGTTATGGAGTGGCTGCTGACACCTTCCTCTTGAGGAAAAAGGTTGGTGGCATCCCGGTTCATTTCTTCACAAGGCTCGTGCAAACCCAGTTCCTGACACTCCATTTTCATGCACATCTTAGTTTGTTTCCACTCTTCACAAGTTCTTGGAGGTACAAAAGAATCTTCTGCACGTTACAAATGAACCAGAGGGTTACCAACTGCTCTCCAACAGACGGAGAATTGTTTTTTTGTTTTTCCCCGCTGCGAAAGACTGAACCAGTGAATGCTCCCACTGAGTTACATACCAGCCCTTATTTTTTGAGGCAGGGTGTCACTAAGCTCAGGTTGGCCTCGAACTTGAAGATCCTCCTGCCTTCACCTCTGGATAGCTGGGATTACAGGTATACACCTCAACCTCCGGCTAGGGGTAAGTTTCGAGCACAGGTTCTTTTTGTTTTAAATTCTCTCCCAATTTTCTTGGCGGTAATGTTTCCGGTCGGGGGGCCTTCCTAGAACCGGCTGCCAATTTGAGAGACTCCAAAGGTACCATTATTGCCTCCCATGCCCCGTTGAGGCTGCTGCAAGCATGCCAGAGCGTTTAGAAAGAATTAGCGTTGGACAGAAAGTGAAAATACCAACATAGGTCAAAGCCGGAGCAATCCGAAGGGCTAGCTACACAGACACCGCACGCCCGTGCTCCCATGGGCTCCGGTGTAAGCCAACCAGAAACTCTTCCGGTCAGCCACACACACCCCGCCCCACCCCGGGCCGAGAGCCGCCGGCTCGAGTCTCTATGGTACTAATTTCCGCCGCGCTCCATCCCTCGCGAGATTTCAGCGACGCAGCAATGGCGAGACCGTGAGTTCGGCTAGCGGGAGTTAAGAGAACGGGTTGGGACGGGGTTAGGTCAACACCGGATCAGGGGTGGTCCGATTAGAGGTCTGGTGGGAGTGGCGGCTGAAGGCAAGGGGCCACTCTGGGCCCAGACAGCTGCCTACCACCTGCCCTCCCCCAACTTCCCCAGATGCCGCGTCACTGCTCTGCCGCCGGCTGCTGCACACGAGATACACGGGAGACGCGCAACCGCGGCATTTCCTTCCACAGGTCAGCGCGCGTGCGTGCTGGTGCGCGAGGACTCCCATGCGCATGCGCTACGGTTGCCCTCAGCATTGGGCCGCAGCTATGCCTTTGCTGCCCTCGGTTCTCGGGTCCAAACTACCCCTGGACTTGAGATTAGGAAAGTGAATGGGATACTCCAGATGGGACTAAATCCCGTCCAGAAAAGGAGGACCGGACGCTTAGGAGTTGCAGCTCTCATTGTCTTGCTTGCTGTATAACGCTGAGCAAGCTGTTTGCTCGAGGCCTGAGGTTCCTCTTTGCCTAAACGAGTGGTGCCTATCAGGCACGGTCCCTGGGAGGTCTCCTGCCGGCTTGTGCCGGCCTTGCTCTTTTTGCCTGGGGAGCTTGGGCATATGAACCTAGTGCTGCGGGCAGCCTGGCGCTCACAGGTTTGTGGCTCTGCAGACTTCCCAAGAAGGACAACCCGAGGCGCGGCTTGTGGCTGGCCAATTGTCAACGGCTGGACCCCAGCGGCCAGGGCCTGTGGGACCCGGCCTCTGAGTACATCTACTTCTGCTCCAAACACTTCGAGGAGAACTGCTTTGAGCTGGTGGGAATCAGGTGGGCCTCATTGCAAGTCAGCATTGGGGCGGGGCGTGGGGCATCATTCCAGGAGGCAGACTGGGGGAGCTGTACATCCTGATGAGGAGGTCCTGACTGACAGGCAAACCTGGTGTGAAGGGTGCTGTTTCTTTTTCCCAGTTTACAATAAAACCCACTCCCAGTATAACTGTGCTGGTTACAGCAGAGAAACATGTTTCCGGGCACTGTTTGGCCTCAGTTGTCCCAGCAAATTTATTCTTGGGTTGTCAGCCCAGCCCTACTGGGGAGCTTTTCTGTGCACCCCAGCTTTGAGGAGGCCTCAAGGGAGAAGCTTAGTGGACTTTGCCTAACTTGGCATGCTCCAAACTGTTTGCAGTTTTGCCTTTCCGCTTCCCACAGCCCTAGTGCTGGGGAACCCATATTGGCTTGCCAGGCCAAATTGGCCCAGGGAGGCAGCATCTTTCTCCATCTCATCCTGGCTGCTTTTCCCCACAGTGGGTATCACAGGCTGAAGGAAGGGGCAGTGCCTACCATATTTGAATCTTTCTCCAAGTTGCGCCGGACAACCAAGACCAAGGGGCACAGTTATCCCCCTGGGCCCCACGATGTCAGCCGGCTCCGGCGATGCAGGAAGCGGTATGTGCTATCGGTGGGGTCATGCCCCACTCCCATTCCAAGCCTGAGGGAGTGGGCTTTAGGGTCTCTACCTGCAACCTGACTGGATGGGGTTCTTGCTGTACAGACCCTGTAGAAGGGGACCAGCTGTTAGGGACATGAAGTGGTGCTAGGCCTTAAGTCTGGGCTGTCAGTCTGTTTCCCTCTTCCCTCCAGCTGCTCTGAAGGCCGAGTGCCCACAACTCCATTTTCTCCACCTCCTCCTGCTGATGTCACCTGCTTTCCTGTGGAAGAGGCCTCAGCACCTGCCACATTGCCTGCCTCCCCAGCTGGGAGACTGGAGCCTAGCCTTAGCAGCCCCTTCTCAGATCTTCTGGGCTCTCTAGGTGCCCAAGCAGATGAAGCGGGCTGTAGCACCCAACCCTCACCCGAGCGGCAGCCCTCTCCTCTTGAGCCACGGCCTGTCTCTCCCTCAGCTTACATGTTGCGCCTGCCACCACCTGCTGGAGCCTACATCCAGAATGAACACAGCTATCAGGTGGGTAGTGCTCTGCTCTGGAAGCGGAGGGCTGAAGCGGCCCTTGATGCCCTGGACAAGGCCCAGCGACAGCTGCAGGCATGTAAACGTCGAGAGCAGCGGCTGCGCCTGCGGCTGACCAAGCTGCAGCAGGAGCGAGCACGGGAGAAACGGGCACAGGCTGATGCCCGACAGACTCTAAAAGAGCATGTGCAGGACTTCGCTATGCAACTGAGCAGCAGCATGGCCTGAGGGAGGGACCACCCATCAAAGCTGTACCCTCTTCCTCACAATCTACCTAGAGAGGGACCGATCTGAACTGCATCCAGCATACCCATCAGGTGCCATAATAAAGTGGATTTTAGAAGGACGTGCTGCTGTTTGGCTCAGCAAGGAATGATGGCTTGTCTCCTCACCCTCCCTCAAACTGGCTGCAACCTCTAGAGAACTAAGATCCTGTAATCTAAACTCTAGGCTGTGAAGAGCCTACTTTTTAGCCACCTCTCAGTCCTGCACAAGGGACAGCCACCCTGGCTGTGCTTGGGCAACACTGTTCCACAGGGTTCTTATGGGATAGAATGGTCGAGGCCACGAGACAATGCCAGGAAACCTATCCTTGTTTCCTGCAACAGCCTTAGGCAGGGGAGCCCCTTTTAAGCTTACTCGGAAAACCCAGTCCAGACCTTTTTTTTTTTGTCTTTTTCCTTTTTATCGGTACCAGGGATCGAACTCACGACTGCCTGCTTACAAGGCAGGCGCTTATGCCACTGAGCTAAATCCCCAGCCCCTCCAGACTGTTTTTATGTAGAGGCAGTTCCCTGTACCACTCATGGTTGAACACATTTGTCAGAAAAAGGGACAGTAATGACAGTCATCAACCTTCTGGCAGTGTTGTACTCAGAAGATGGTAAGATGTTGCCAAGAAAAAATTTATGGGAACAGGTGGCTAGATCCTGGAGACAGGAATGAAGGGCCTAGCCTCAGTGTCCTTTCTTCATCTTAAGGGAACCTGGAAGTCTTCACTGATGTGACTAAAGTAAACAGCTGGATTCCTGGACTGATTCTCCCTCCATGGGGAAACCCCTGCTGGTCCCCAGCCACACAATCCAAGGAACGTTACTGATTTCCTAGTTCCAGAACTTACACCTGTTCTCAAATTTGCTTTTTAGGGTCCCTGATGTGTAAAAATTTACTCATGTCCAAAAGACATAATAGAGAAGCTAGTTATGAGGGTCAGCAGAGAACAGGGTATAGATTGTTCCTGGAGCTTTCAAGCTGATACCTCCAGGATGGCTATTTGAATGAGGCTGCTTTGCAGGAACTCTGGGTGGGTGATTGTGTGAAACACAAAAAATCATGGCCTGGCTGCCCACCCATAGCAGTACATCTCGGTTCAGCCTCTGTCCAGTAACCCTAGCCACCTGCTTCCTCACAGGGGACGTCCCTCAGGGGACATCTATTCCACACATCACTCACTTCCCACCTTATCTTGCACCAAGCCATTGGCTGGCTGTTTGGCCTTACGGATTTGCTACCTTTAGCTAAAGGTACCTAGCCTGCCACCTGCCAGATACCTGTATGCAGCTATCTGGGGCCCCACAGCAATGGAGCACAAGCAGGAATGGAAAGAGCTCTAAAGCCAGGAAAAGAATCAGTCATTTCCCTTAGGTAAGCTCTGGCTTCCTGGTAAACAACATAAAATGGGTTCCTGCATTCTTGTTCCCAGAAACACAGAACTATGCCTCCCATATCAATATGGATTCACATAGAGCTTACTCTAGGGTAATGGGAAGAGGCACTGGCCTGTCCTTATTTCTACTGTAGCAGGAAAGAGCAAACTCAGAATCCAACAGAGATGCACAGGAGGGGTGCAGAGCACATGCTACTCTAGGGCTCTCAGGAGGTGAGGGTCCAGGCTGGGTATTTCCCATTACCCCTCTCCCCATGTTACTGAGTGGCAACAAATGGTGGCAGGAATTATTGACAGGGTTGATAGAAGTGGCTGACTCACATCCAGGGTCTACCAAACCAGTGGGGTGCACAGATGGTCCACTGCAGGCAGGCAGGCAACGGTCAGTAGTGGAGATTGTGCCAGTGAGGCATATGTAGGTAGCATTGCTGTGGCTTTAATGGAGGCATATCTGTGACAGAGTAAATAATTAGGGCCTCTCTGCTCACTTCTATCTGCCCCAGATGTGCATGTGAGTAGGCTGGGAGCCTGCAGCCCCACTAGAAGCTAGCAAAACCAAGCTAGGCACAGCCCAGCATGCCTGCCATGTGTGTGGGGCACAGACCTCAGGGGTCATCATTCCAGAATTCATCTTCAGGACAGACATATATCACTTGTTCCCATTCATAAGCTCCTATTAGGAAGAGCCCATGACACTTCAGTGACCTAGGGGATGGGACACAGCAACTGCCAGTCCCCTTCCTCATGCTCCTCTGGTATCAGGACCCAGTGCCTGAATCCACAACACATTCACATCCTAGGAGCAAGGCTGAACTTCCTAAAGCCACACTCCAGGTTTCTCAGTTCTGGGTGTTAACCAGGGTACATCTGTGGTATCCCAGTCATTGAGCCCTGGCTTCCTGATCAGGAAAGGAGAGGGTGGCTTACTCTCCACTCCCTGTGGATCCTGTGTCCTCAATGAAAAGAGGTGTTTGGGGCTTACAAACCACCCTTAGCTCCCTTCAAGAGGTTCTGAGTACCCTGGCCTTTGCCCCACAGATAACACCCACTGTAGGCAGAGGCATGGACAGGGCAGTCCTTGCAGTGGCCCAAGCAGGCAGGCGGCAGCATTTTCCACGCTGGTGGGGTACCGAAGGGACCCTCAGATGTCAGCACCCAGCTCTGCACACTGCTTGTCAGAAATATGAGAAGCCAGGGAGTCTATGATGTCCAGCAACAGCTGCTGGCTCAGCATCCGGAGTGTGGGCAGCTTGGAGACCTGCACAATGAACCAGATTCACATAAGAGCCAAGGTGGGCAGCTGAGTCCTCTGGAAGCTCAGCCTGGACAGGACTTGGGCTGACCCTGAGGATGAGGGTGAGCAAAGGCCAGTGAATGAGAAGCTCAGTGTAGCCCAGCCCACGGCCTATGACTCCCCTCCTCCCACAGTGTCCTGACAGGAGAGCTAAGGCCATGAGCACTGGGGCTGGGCATGCCTGACCTTGGTGAACTGGTGCACAATGATGTGCAGGCAGTGCCGCTTCATGTCCAATGCCTGTGTCTTGTCAGCTGCCTCCAGAATCTGAAATGGCAGGGACTTTTGAGGCCCCCTGACCCAACCTCAGTAGAGGGGAAGGCATGGTCCACTGGTGTCACCAGCACTACCTGCAACACGTTCTGCACGGTGACATTCATCTCCAGGTTCTGCTTGCAGTACGCCTGCAGCCGGTTGTTGTAGAAGCCATAGTAGTAGGGGGCCGCAAACAGGTAGCTGGGAGTTAGTTAAGGAGCCTCTGGCCAAAGGAAGCCCAATTGCCCCTTCTGCTGCCTCCTCACCCAGGAGCAAGGCCCAGACAATGGGTTGCTCTCTACATAGGTTCTAAACCACATAGGGGCTGAAAAGCTCCATTCAAAATCCAAAGAAAACCACAAATCCCCTCGGTCCCATAGCACATCTGCAGAATTTCTCCATGGTACCTCATATTCAAACCCCCCAGGAGTAGAGTACAAGGAATCACTCCACATCTGTCTGCCCTCTCCTGTCATTCAGCAATGACTGACCCCATTATTCTGTGAGATTCAAGGACCACCCATTCCTTCTGGCTTCCAACCTGTCCCTGCCAGCTGCCCACATGCTTTAGAGAACATCAAACACAGTGCTGGGCACTGGGAAATTCTCCAGAATTGAGATGCTGGGCCAAGATCACCGGGCCAAAATAAGGGCAGCTGGGTACCAAAGCGATCTTGAGGGGATGAGCCAGGAGTGATGCTGGCGCTGGGGCCCTCATTCACTGCAGAGGTTGGTCCCCTCCTGTCCTCTGCTGACTTGCAAAGTCTGCGATTGAGCTGAGACCAGGTTAGCGCCCTTAGGGTGTGAGGATGCAGGGAGTCTTCAGGGGGCATGTTGACCTCGCCATAGTAGATGTAGCGTAGCATGGACTGGAAGGCCTGCCTGCTGGGCACCATCTCCCCAATGGAGATGTTCACCTGCCCATCCTCAGGCATGAAGGACCGGAACATGGCTTCAAAATAGCTGCAGACAGACAGTGGCAGACAGCCAGTTCTGAGCAGAAGGAAGTCACCACCTGAGCCCTGGCCCCCTGCATAGGTCCTCAACCCACCTAGAGCGGGCAGCTAGGATAGCCTTGTGGGCTGGCCGTGGGTGTCCGTCCAGCAGCAGCGTGATGTCACAGAACTCTGCACCTGCGCCTTCCAGGTATGCCTTCATGTCCTGGATCAGAGATGTGCCTGGGGATGTGAAAGGATCCTGAGTAAGTCCCTCCCACATCCCCCAGAAGACCCTCAGCAAAGGGGTTGCTTTGTGGCCTTGGGATCTCACAGGTACTGCCCTCTCTGCCCACATCATTGCTCTGCAAGGGTTCTCTGGGACAGCACCCCAGGCCAACTGAAGCACCATAGTCCCTAAATAGCCCTCAGGACTGAGTCCCCCACATCTGACCTTCCATCCATGGCCCTCCCTCTGGCCCTCATGGGAGAGTTCCCTATGACCCACTGTGTGGTCTGTAGTGTCTCCAGATGTCACCAAATGGAGTCATCATAGGCCCCACATACAGCTGGGTGAATGAAAGAGTCTGGTGTCCTTTCTAAACAGGACAAGAAGGTACCAGGAGATAGGACATCCTCACTGTGCCTGAGAAGCTCAGCAGTTCATCACTGCTGCTGACCATCAGATCTGATGCCCAGCCAGAAAAAGCTGCCACGTCTATCCCAGAACTGGGCTCAGGGGATCTAGCTCTGGAGGTTGAAGGTCTTTGAGGAAGCCTGTGTGCCTCTGTCCACCTCTGTTCCTGGGCCCAAGAGCATATGGGGGCTAACCCCCTGGCTCCCAAGATTCCTACCCATGATGAACACCACTCCTTCCTCCCCAGGACAGAGGAACAAGGTTTTCCTACCAATGTCCACAGGCTGGTCTGAGGGTGTACGAGGGGGTGGCTGCTGCTTCCGCCGCACAATCTCCACAATTAGTGGGGACGAGAGGTGCTCAAACTCCTTCATCATGATCACCTGGTTGAAGTGGGATTCCTTCACCACGAAGTTCAGGCAGTGTTCCTGGGACAGGCAAGCAAGGTCAGGCCACAGCCAGGGATAAGCAAGAGGCTTGCTGTGGGGAGAAGGGTGGGCACCCAGCCTGAGCACCAACCTCCCAACCCCGGCAGGCCCAAGCTGTTAGATGCTCCCAGCTGCAGCACCAACCCCAGCCCGCACCTTGAGCTGGCTCAGCTGCAGCCTGGCAGCACTCTCACACACAACCAGCACATTCTGTAGATCCACAGAGGCCTCGATGTACTGCCGGCATAGCTGCTCCAGGCGGCACAACTGGAAACTCAGCGCCAACTTGTACACGTCCATGATGAGCAGCACATCCTCCACATGGCCTGTGCCCAAGAGGCCCTGAGCCTCAAGGACCCAGGAGGGACAGGCCTAGAGCAGGGCCTAGGACTCCCTCTATAGATGGGTATAGTCTGGACCATATCTGGGTGTGATCATAGGTGTGATCCTCTGAACCTCAGGATGCCCTTCTGTTAGGCAGGCCTAGTAGCATGTACCCCTTGGCCCTGCTGCCCACCCCAGCCTTGTTCCATGCCACCCACATCCCAGGCACACCTTTCCGAGGGTATTTAATCTTGTCTGTGTAGAGGAACTGCATGAGCACCTCAAAGGGCCTGGCCTCAGCCTCCCGGATGGCCACACGCAGCAGGGGTGGCCTTGTCCCACTCACAGCTGCACCAGAGGCCTCCCTGGGTACTGGGGCTGCCTCTTCTTCCAGGTTCTGTGGGGAAAAGAAGGAAGCTCAAGAGCACACCAAAGGAACAATGGACACAGCTGCCTACTTGGGGGGACCTCACCTGGGCCAGCCGCTCCCGTGCCTGCACGATCTTTCTGCGGAGCCAGCGGCTCCGTGCAGTGACAATGGCCACATGGCCCTGTACACACTCTTCCTTCTGTGCAAAGAACAGCATGTGAGTAAAGAACACTAGCACCTTGCCCAAAGGGACAGAGGCCCGATACCCAGGGCAGGACCAATGTTCCACTGGCTGGACCTTTGAGGCAGACACAGCAAGTGGAGATGGGCATGAGGAAAGCCACCCACCTCACCCAGCACAAACTCTACATCACAGAACTGGCGGCTCTCCCACAGCCGCCCGTAGTCCTCATGCAGCGTGCACTTGGGGTAGCAGGAAAACTGTGAAGGGAAACCCCAGTGTCACACACAGCCCAGCCCTTGACTGAGGAGAGGAGCAGCTGCCTCCTGCCCTACAGGCATTGCCTGCTTTGGACCTTGACTGCTGTACCCACCCATCAGCTCATACCAGCTGGGGACTCCCACTGCTATTCTTGCCTTCAGCTGGACCCTCATGCTTTGGTGGGGCTGTGATGTCTCTATCCTGTGCCTTGACCCAGGTACTTCTGCTGGGCCTATCAGCATATCCCCATCTCCTCCAAGGAGCTGACCCTGACCCCACTATTCCCATGGTCCCTGATACCACCTGCTCCTCCAGGCCTGGAAAGGAACTGCCAAGGAAGCCATTGTCACACCAATGCGGCTCACTTTCTCTACCAACTCTGCTGTGAAACACTTGCCATGCCTCTCCATGCTGCACTGATGATCCCCAACTCCTAAGTGTCAGCTCAGCCTGCCCTCAGCATTGTCTCCCACCCACCACTGAACGTGCCAGGGAGCTTCCATCCCAACAGGTTCTGCCCTTGGACAAACCTACCACCACATGCTGGGCCTCGGTTCCCTGTCATGGGGCCCATGAGCCACATACCTGGAACCTGTACATCTCCCCGCTGCGGATGTTGTTGTCCACAGTACCCCCGAAGATGTACATGGCATCAGAGATGACAGCAGCTGCATGGAAGAGTCTCCCGCTGGGCAGCTGGGGAGGGTGACATGTAGGCAGGGGTTTGGGGATGGGCAAGATCTCCAGCAGTAAAGCTGGCCATGGCCAGGCTGTGGGTGAGGACATGATTTCATATGGCCATGGAGGGACCACAGAGCCCAGTCCTTGAGGGGTGATGATTTTTGGATGCAGCCACAGACACAGATGGGACCCAGGGCTATACTGAGTGCAGCAGAGTGTGAGCTCTGAGAACTACGCCTCCTTTGCTAGGTGACCATGAGTAAGTGATTCTCAGGGCCTCGTTCTCCCCATCTGTGAGAAGGGTTGATCACAGGCCTTCCTTCATGGGCTGGCTGTGGGGACCTTCACAGGGTAATAAAGCCTTAAGGAGAGTCCCTGGCCCTTACCTCTGAGGCTGGCTGGGTGGGCTGCTTGGCTGAGGTGGTACCAAAGTCCAGGCCAAATACATCTCGGGACTTCTTGAAGGCAGCCCGCTCCTCAGAGGTCAGACTGGGTGCCTCCTCGGAAGTGGAAGCTCGCTCAGGCACCTCAGCCCCACTGACCTGGTGGGGAGAGACATGCAGGCATGTGACTAGGCAGCAAGGGCTGGGCAAGTTGTGGACCATCATCCCTGCCAGAGAATGCTGTAGACTCAGAAGGGAAGCGCTATGAGGGAGCCTAGCTGGGGAACTCAGAGGACTCCCCAGGTTTGCAGGATAGTAGCACAGTAGACAGAATAGGATGTGAATCACTGGAAACCTGCAGGCTGTAGGAAGAAGGGGCTAAAGGACTGAGGGCCTGGGCATCCCGGTCTTGCTCCTCTTGGCTATATGGAGTGGAAGGCCCTGAGGCTGTGGGAGCTTGGTGGGAGCCGTTGGCATGCAACCAGGGAGTTAGAAGCCCCCTGGGATTCCTACCCCACAGCCTGGCAACACTCACCTCACTGTCAGAGCTGGGCTGGACAACCTCCCAGGTCTGGAAGTCCACATCATAGCAATGCAGTTCATTGGGCAACGTATTGTCAGCCGCACCCCCAAACACATAGAGGTGGCGGTCAAAGGCCACCATGGTGTGTCCATAGCGCCGCTGCGGGGGTGGTGGGGAGCCTCGGAGCAGGTGCTCAGTAGGGATTCGTGTCCACCTGAGGACACATGATAAGTGTTCAGAGCAAGGGTGAGGGCTGTGATGCCCCTGTGGCCTCCACACAACAGGTCTCCCTGTGACCCTCTGGTAACCAGAACAGGGTTCAAAGGGAGTGCTGGAGTACATGTGCCCAGTGTCCTGTGCCATGTTTAGCTGTAGCACTAGCTGTGCCTGGCTCCATCCTGTCCACCAAGGGGGCTGGCCCAAGCCCTAACATTCACCCAGATAGCAGTGACAGGGTAGGAAGGGTACTGTCTAACCTCTGGAGAAATAGGACTGTACAGAGATACACAGGTGACTACAACTTGCTGCATGTATGCCACCTGGCAGCTGAGTCCCTCCCTGGGAACTGCCTGGGCCCCATACTCTGATGCTCCTCTCATAGCATTCTCTACCTTCCACCCAGCACCTTCCAAGCACCTTCAAGCAAATCTCCTTTTTTATTAAGTTAGTTGAAGAACTGAATCAGATCCTTGCTAGGCCATCTGTTTATTACCCAGCAGGGATCCCTCTGCCCACGATGCATGACTTGCAGGGATGCATGCACCCCCTCCAAAGCCCTCATTCATTTTCTGCATTTGCTCCCAGGGTCAGAGGTCAGCTCAAGCTCAAGGGTGAAAGTGAGCCAGCAGCAAAGATGGGGAAAGACCAGAAGATTCAGGGCCTCTGTACCTCTCTTGTCGTCTGCCATCATGAGAACTGTGCCAGCCATATTTCCTCTGGGTGGCACTCACCAGAGGCAGAGCATGTCCTGGATACTCAGAGAGAGGGACAACTGGGGACCCTAGCCCATCTTTGCAGAGCTGCAGCCTTACCCTGAAGAGCCTGCTCTTGACTTGATGTTCTTGCTCTGTGTGGGAGCTCAGAAAAATTGGATGTCATGGCTATCAGACACAGGCATGGCCATTCACTGTGTCCCTCCCTGGCCAGGGCACTCACGTCTTGTCCTTGAACTCAAACTGGAAGAGGTTGTTGGTTATCTTGGCTCCACTCTGTCCTGAGAACACAAACATCTTGTCCCGACACACAGCCACAGGGAAGTTGCAGCAAGATGGTGGGATCTCACCACTCTGGGCCACCTGGGGTAGAGGTGAGGGCAGCTCAGCCCGGAGCCCTCACAAGACCTCTGTGTGTGTGTGTGTGTGTGTGTGTGTGTGTGTGTGTGTGTGTGTGTATTTAATACAAGGGCTTTATCAGCGCTTTTTATATTTTGAGGTTTTGAGGCATGGTCTCACTAAGTTGCCAAGTTGTCCATGCTGGACTCCAACTTGTGATCCTCCCACCTCAGCCTCCCAGAGTGCTGGGATTAAGGTCATGCACTACCATGCCCAGATGGACTCATGTTTCTATACACTCAGAGGTGGAAGTTTTATTCTTGGAAAAAAACTATTTTGTGAATGAGGATGGATAGAGTAAATTTTGGCTAGTTTATAGCCCCATCTCACCCATTTACATGAGTTGTTTTGACAAGCTAGAGTCAAAATCCTCAGGGTTAAATCACCAGGGGCTTTCAGGTACAGTGGCACATGACTGTAATTCTAGCACTTGGGAAGCCGAGACATGAGGACTGCCATGAGTGTGAGGCCAGCCTGTGCTACATAATTTATTTAAGGCAAGCCTAAGTATGCAGTGAAACCTTGTCACAATCAATCAATCAACAATCAGGGCCTAATGACACATCTCTACAAGGGTATGAAAGCCCAGAAGCAGGACAATGGACAGCAGGCTGCCCTTGCTATGTTTAAGTAATGGTAGAGTCCACCAAAACCATACTGGTCACATGTGGCACTCTGTCCATCCAGAGCAGTGTGTGTGTGTGTTTGTGTCTGTGTATTTGAGTGTGTGCATGCACATGTGCACACGAGCACACAGTACTACAGTGGAACCCAGGACTTTGGGCATGTGCAAACATTGCACCATTAAGCTGCTCCTCCAGCCACAGGGCTTGGAATATTTAGTCCTATGCAACCACTTCTAGAACTTGTTATGGGCTGAATAGTTCAGAGAGAAAAGTGAGGTTAAGCTTTGGTGAGGGGAAGAAGGAAGACTTTGCCACCACCCTACCCTGGCTCTTGGGGCTCCCCCAGGACCCTGGTCCCCTATGACCCTCACCTCCTCCCAGCATGTGAGCTCCCGGTCCTGCAGGCCAATCGTCCACATGTCATTCAACCTGCATTAGGACAGAGGGGTCAGGATGCGTTGGGTCTGGCTGTGAGGGTGGGCCTAACCTGTACCCAGCCAGGGCATCTGGCTCCAGGGAAGAACAAGCTGCCATGTGGGTTAGTGGACCATTGTGCAGTCATGAGGTCTCAGTACACCAAACCCCAGCTGTGCCAGCCCTCTTCTAGCCCAGACAGGGATGAGTAGCCTCATGCACAGTATCTGGGGCAAAGGGGTAGGGCCAGCTCCTTACTGAGCTATCCCCCAAGGTGAGAGGAGACCATGGATATTACTGAAACTACTACCACTATGTTACTAGGAATTTCTGTAATGCTAAAATTGGAATAAGCACATACTATCTTGTAATAAAAAAATACAGAGTGACACATTTTCTAAACTAAGGCAAAAAATCTGTGACACAGGCAGAAACACAGGGCTGGGTCTCAGCCCTGATGCTGTCCCCTTCCCATTCTCTGGACCCTTCAGCATCCCTCCTCCCTGTGGCCCCAAATATTTTCATCTAGTAATTCAACAGGCTATGTGATTGGCTGAAGGCTCCACTCAAGAGATTTCACCTCTATTTGCCCAAATTCAGGAATGCATCAAAATCCACCAGGCCAGCCTTTTGCAGCCTGAACCCTCAAATGCTGGGAAGGCTTGCTCTGTAACTAAGTAGACTCAGAGGTTAGGTACACAGGCTGGGCCACCACCTACCTGGCATTGCCATCATAGCCAGCAAAGATCCATAGCTTGTCACTGTACACTGTGGCCCCATGGGCTGACCTGGCAACCGGTAAGCTAGAGTACAAAGGAAGAAGTGAGGAGACAGGTACCCCAGCTCAACTAGGAGCTCAGAGCCTCACATAATGGAATAGATGCCACAACTGGGGTACTAGGGTCACATCTGTCAGACACTGGGCTCCGAGTACCACTGCTGCTACACCAGGAACAAGCAATAGTTTGTGAGCCCTGGACAGTAACTGTATAAAAAAACTTCATACATAGGCATGGTGGTGCATGCCTATAATCCCAGCACTCTGGGAGGCTGAGGCAGGAGGATAGCAAGTTGAGAGTTTAGCCTGAGCAACTAGTGACTTAGAAAGACCCTGTCTCAAAATTTAAAAAAGTAAATAATACATAAATAAATAAAATGGCTGGAGATGTACTTCCATGTGAAAGCCCTAGGCTTAATCCCCAGTCCCCAGAAAACAGAAAAAAAGAAAATTCAGATGTATGACTAGCAACACAATTCTATGATGGAGTGTTTGCCTCACATACACAAGACGGTGGGCTCCATCCCTACCCCCCTCAAAAAAGAAATTCTGGTATCCACACAAGCACAGCATCCTCTCCAAGCTGCCACCATGCTATCCAAGAGGGCGCTCACAAAGCAGCACATCCAGCTCTCTTCTGAAAGAAGCGAATCCACAGCTGGGAGCAGGCTGGGAATCAGCACCCATTCCCAGCTCCCCACTTGCTGAGTGCCTCAGGCCTCCCCCAGATTCAGGCCAGCTACCACCGAGACCCCTTGTGGCCCCACAGGTCTCAGCAAAGTCTCTCACCGTCCTTCAATCTTCCACTCTGTCCACTGACCAGTTGCAAACTTGTATTCAAACAGGTCATTTTTATTCTTCAAGTTAGAATTGGAATAAATGTCTCCAGTGTAGCCCCCTGGGTAAAGAGAAAGTACAAGTGGCATGCCCATGGCACTGCTGAAGTCTTCACACCCTGGGAGCTGGGGTACAATCTGGCCTCACTTAAAATCAAGGCTTTGGGGGCTGGGGATTTAGCTCAGCAGCATAAGTGCCTGCCTTGCAAGCAGGCAGTCGTGAGTTCGATCCCTGGTACCGATAAAAATGAAAAAGACAAAAAAAAAAAAACAAAAAACACCCCAAGTCTTCATCTGCAAATCTCTGAGATACCAACTGCCTGTGGCCTCTCTGCAGGGCTCCAAGCCACACAGTGAGCAGGACACTGATTCCTGCCTCAGCTGTCACAAGCAGACAACCAACCAAGAGCTCAGGGCAGTCAGTACGAGAACTTAGGGTATCCAGTGGACAAAGCTGAGGGGCTGGTCAGAGCCCCTGAAAAACACCAGATGTGAGAAGACCCACGTTGGGAAGTTAGGGCATCCATTGTTCTGAGAGGGGGCAGGAGGCAGGGGCTGCTTACCAAAGACAAACATGCTGCTCCCGTAGACAACAGCTGAGTGGTGGTAGCGGGGTGCTGGTGGAGTGCCGGTGGTAAAGGCCCTAGGGTAGGCACAGGGGTAGTGTCAGCAGGAGTCAACTGGAAAGTCCACATCCCCACAGGATAGCCCCTGCCAGGCTCATGTCTTCCCTCTCTCCTTTTTATAGTACTAAACCCTTGCTAGGCAAGTGTTCTACCACTGAGCTATATCCCCAGTCCTTTTTATTTCATTCTGAGATAGGATCTTGCTAAATTACCCAGGAGAGGCTTGAACTTGCACGCTTCCTGTCTCAGCTTCTCTAGTGTCTGGGACTACAGGTGTGTGCCACTGCACTGAACTCACATTGTTATTTTTTGAGACAGGGTCTTGTTATGCTGCCAGGCTGGCCTTGAACTTGTAAGTTCAAGTGATCCTCCCAATTCAGCCTGCTGACTTCCAGGGACTTAAGCTTCCTGAAGGTGACACCTCTCATTCTAAAGACTTTTAAGATATTACCAATAAGGAGAAAACAAAGCAAGCACTGAAATTTTTAATTTTGCTGCCAGAAAACCACTGGTAACATCAGAAGGCCCTCCCTCTACATCTCTTAGGCATACCTATGCTGCTGGGAAGTCTTAACATGGAACTAAAATAGCCAGGCATACAGATCTATAATCCTAGCATTCAGGAGGCTGAGGTAGGAGAAGTGCTGTGAGTTTGAGCCAAGCCTGGACTACACAGTGGGGACCCTGTATAAAAAGAAAAAAGAATCATACAGTGGGTATTTTGTAATTTATTTTTTCAACCAAACAATGTCACTAGGAGGTCCTCAAATCACTCTAAGATCATCAGCTAGGACCTTTTTTAGCCGAAGGCAGTATTCTGCAGCAGAGGGTTTCTAAATTTTACTTACTGAATTAAAAACCCGTTTACACTGCTTACCACAGGGTTGTTCATTTCTAGTGTTTTTTCATTGTTTGTTTTGGTTTCTTTTTTCTTTTCTTTTTTGCCTTTTTGAGTCAAGGTCTCCCTATGCAGTTCAGGCTGGCCTTGAGCCCAGGATGGTCTCAGACCTGCAAAGATCCTTCTGCCTCAGCCTCTTGAGTGCTACAAGTATGTGCCGCCATGCCTGGCTTCTTTTGGTTTCCTGAGACAGGGTTTTCAATGTAGCCCAGGCTGGCCTCAAACTCATTCTCCCTCAGCCTTCAGATTGCTGGGATTATAGATGTGCACCCCGCACTCAGCTCCAATTTTATGCTTGAGTTAAAAAAAAAAAAAATTCAGTACTGGACAATGAATCCAGGCCTAGTGCATGTTAAGATAGCGCTCTGACACTAAGCTACATCCCTCAGCTCTTTTTAAAACATTTCCTTTGGAGACAGGGTCTCAATGAGTGGCCCAAAATGACTTTGAACTTGTGCTCCTTCTGCCTCAGCCTTCCCAATAGCTGGGATTATAGGCCTGGGTCTATAGTGTAAACTGGCTACTTTAGCTTTTTTGGCAGGGGGATGTGAATACCAAGGGATGAACTTATGGCCTTAGCACTAAGTTACATCCCCAGCTCTTGTTATCTTTTTTACTCTGAGACAATCTGGCTAATTTGCCCAGGCTGGGCTGGAATTTGTAATCCTTCTTGCCTCAGCCTCCCACAATGCTAAGATTACATGAATGTGTTACCATGCCTAGCTACTTTAGTAAGTTTTGATCAACAGCTGCATTATAAAACACTTATAAAAGTATAAGTGTGTGAGAAATGACATACCCACTTCTGCAGCCATTCCAGTGCCACTAGGGCTCCTGGACAGATGGAGGATGATTTCATGTGGAACTGCCCTGGCTGGCTGAGGGTCCTAGTCAGTCACATGATCTCCTGAGCCCTGACATCCTCCTTGGTCAGAAGGACAATAAGACCCCACCGCACCAGAGGACCAAGGGGATGGGCCACAGGCCACAGAGTGTGGCACCACAAGGGGCTCAGTGGGCCTGTGTTCCTGTGTGAGTCGATGGTAAGCTCAGAAAGCCCAGGATCTCCTGATCCCAGGATCCCCATTGCTCCCTCAGCTGTGAGGTACTTCTGGGTAGTGCTGAGAGACAGCAAGCAGGTGTCTACTGCCTAAGGCCACACAGCTGAAGAGAGCATGTGTGTGAGGGTGCGGAGTTTATATGGGACCCACTGCCTGTGGGAGTTCTCTGGATTGATCTGGAGAGGCTGGATTGATCTGAGTGGCTCTTCTGGACACAATGTTGAAACCTATAACTGGACCAAACAGGTCCCTTTAATTAGCAGGATTTGGAATAATCAACCACAGATGTGGCTGCAGTAGATACCTAGGAAATGGAGGAAAACACCCAGACCCAGTGCCCCCCATTATTTCCTTGATACTTCTCCATGATCGTGACCCTGTGCTGCTGTGTCCCAGGGAGAAGAACAGGGTCTAGGAGCACAGGGGCTGCCCACCTGCACCAGGAGCAATCCTTCACGTCGAACCGCAGAAGGTCATTGAGCATCGTTTTCCTAGAAGGCAGCCAGAGAGAGGGTGTTGATGACCGGGTGTGCTCTGCAGTGTGTTGCCACTCCAGGACCCTGGAGATGGGCACTGTGTGTACCCCTGGAGGGGGCAGCAGGAAGGACCATTTTAGGCTGGCTCCCTGACCCTTGGAGCCTGGCTAGGGCCAGGCAACTTGCCACTGACCAAAGGGACAAGAGTGGTGACCACCAAGGAAGCTCCCCAATTGATACAGGCACTGGGGCTGCCTTCCAGACAATGGGGTCAAGACCAAAGCATAACCACAGCTGCCAGGAGCCCACCAGGTGGACATGAACATGTGAAATAGTTCACAGGCCAGGTTATCACTCACGTGTCACCCCAGCCTCCAGAATCCCCACCCCTGCATCTCAACACCTTCTTCTGACGCTGCTCCACCACAAGGAGGCCCCGGCCCGAATGTCAAGGAAGGCTGCTTCTCACTGATCTTCCTGCCATCTCCTATTAATCGCAAAACCAGTGTACCAACTACATTAAAGACAAAATAAAATGGGAAACAAATCCACTGGCCACTGTACAACCTTGCAGGACTGACCTGTTACCACCTAGCCCTTGTTCATGTGAGGGAAGAGAACAGACCACCTGGAGCCCAGCACCTGTGTCAGGCCAGTCCTGTGCCTGGTGCAGCTGCCCTATCCTTCTCAGTGTACAGCAGCAAGGTTCTTCCCATCCACTCCATTTCACAGGGAAGAAAATGGCCTAGGAAATTATAGGCTGTGTCTGAAGCCAAACACTCCAAAAGCCAGGAGCTTGGCAGATGGTGTTAGGACTAATTCCTGCCCTTCCTCATTCATTACTCCCAACTCACCTGTCCAGGAAGCCGTCTTTCTACTCAGTCTTTACAAAATTGCAACTTGACTGAGACAAATTTATATACTGTGTCTCATCTGTTAAACAAAAATATGAGAGGCTACTGTTTGGAATGAGCCCCTGCTCTAGGCTCCACAAGCTCAGGTGAAATCAAAGTGAAGTCACCAAATGTCTTATACACTGAAACTCTTAAGGAAGTAATTTGCAAAACAGATCAATTTTTCCTGCAAAAAGGAAAGTCCAGTCTACCTACATCTGTGTTAATATGGAAATTCCCTTTGTCCTGACCTTTGGAAAAAAAATAATAACCTAAAGTTACTAATGTTAACCAGTCAGCTTTTTTTTAACGGTAGTTTTCTTCCCACTTTTCAAACCCTACCCCACTGTTGTCTCTGTCTCTGTCTCTGTCTCTCTCTCTCTCTCAGGCATGTACTACCTGGCTTCCCACTGTTAATCTTGTCCAGAGAACTCAGACTATTCTGTAGAAAGGAAGGTGCCCTAATACATAAAATCTTTTGATACACTGTAGCAAAAAACATTTCTGGTTAATGCTTCGTAGCTGTCATGCAAACTACCTGTTACAAAACACATCTGAGGAGAGGTCCTCCACCTATCACCCACTGTCCTGTGCTAGATACCAATGCCTTTTCTGATTCAGGAGATTCCTGTAAAGGCTCCAGTAAACATCTGTGGGTAGACACCTCTTCCCTCATCTCTCAGCATTTATTGAGTTGTCTGGGTGTTGGATGCAGGGGCCAAAGGAACATATGCCTTGCCTTGGCAGAGGAGACAGATCACAACCAGCATCTGTGAGCTTCAGAGACAAGTGCAGCAGTTAAGAGGTAAGGGGGACCAGGGATTTAGCTCAGCAGCATAAGCGCCTGCTTGGCAAGCGCGAGATCATGAGTTTAATCCCTGGTACAAAAAAAAAAAAAAAAAAGAAAGAAAGAAAGAAAAAAAAAAAAAAAGAAAAGAGGCAAGGGCGGTAAGTGGGGGAAGGCCTTATAATCCACAACATAAGAGAGATAGAAGTGTGAGAATGAGAAAACAGCCAATGCAAAGAGCTGAGCAAGAGGACACTTGGGACAATCCAAATGCAGCAAGGCAGTCAGCATGGTCCAGCACAGTGAGGGGCTGGGAGGAACAGAGAAATGGTTGAGAACAAGCATATAGGCTCCATGGACTATTATGAGGACCTGAGCTTTTTACTCAGAGAGGTAGGGAAATAGCACAGGGCTTTGAGCAAAGGAAGTCATGCTGTAATTTGCACTGGTAAATGAAACCTCTGGCTGCTTCTGGGGGAAAAGACTGTGAAGGAGATGGGCTGGATGCCAGGGGATCACAGCCCTTTTGACTGGTTTTCACGTCCTAGTAGCATCCTGATTACCCCATCACCCCAAGCTGGTTCCCCTGGAGACTCCTGCAGGACCTATGTGCCAGTACTGTTCCTGGGCTTTAAAGCAGAAAAGCCCAGGGCTTTCCTGGGGCTTAGGCTTGGGCTAAGAGGCAGGGCTAAGATTTGTAGGGAAGTTCAGCCATGTGTAAACTCTACCTTCAGCACAGTAAAATCAGTCACAACTTACTTGGTGACAGTTCTTGCGAATGGAGGTATGCCCATCCACAGAAAACAGGGTCATTGCCAGGAAGGTTATTTGTCAGGAGCTTGTAGCAATGCAGGAAAACCCTCACAAAAAGTGAGAAGTGCACAAAATAAATAAAATCGTGTCCTCCATACCTTTGGGCTACAAAGGAAGCATGTGGACAAAGCCCAGAGGGTCGAGTAGGAAAACAAAATTTCTTAGTAGAGGAGGCAGCAAGAGTAGTTATATTTCTTTCAAAGTTGCATTCACTCACTCAAAACAAAGGGAGTATTTCCTTATGCTGAGTATATGCTACTGAACAAATGCTGCACTGAGCATCTTGCAGGCAGAATCTCATGCAATCTCTCCCATGACCTGAGAGGTAACTAAAAGAAGCCTCACAGATGGGGCAATGAAAGCTTAGAGTGCTTAGTTAACGTCTGGAAAGACAGGAGCGTCACAGGCCCAGTCTCAGGCCACAATACTTCTCTCTACATGGTCTAAACACCTTGACTCACTCACCCATTGTCTCCACCAAATACATAGATGGCATCTTTATAGGCCACCACTGTGTGCTTGCTGCGCCTAGAAAGAAAGAAGGGGTGGAAGGTGGTGAAGTCAGGCCCTGACTAGATGGCACCCAAGAACTGGGACTACAAGTGGAGGCTGCCCCAGAAGTTAGGTAACATTTGTCAATTGCCAACACCTACACATGACCCCTAAACTCCACACACCCCTGAATATGGAGATGCCTCACACTACCCCACCGAAGCTCATGGGACCCTCAGAAACACAAGAGCTCTAATACCCTGCCCAGGGTGACCTGGCTCTGGATCTCCAATGAACTGCTTCCTCTGCCCGGGACACCATCAGCCGATTAGCAGTTTCCATACCGGGCCACCCAACTCGGGTCACGACATCAGACCCCCACCCTGAGACCTCGTTAGATCACACCCCCGCCCTTCATGTGCCTTCAGGATCCCCTGAACCCCGCCGTACCGGGCACCCACGAACTCGTCGCAGGGCGGGAGGCGCCGCCAGCGATGCACTGTTTCGAAGGGCCCGAAGTTGAGCGTCAGGTACTCGACACTGTCTGAGCAACTATGGTCAAAGTCCACGCTCGGAGCTACCTTGGAGCGCGCTCCACCTGCCAGGGCCCCGGCCCCGATCGGGCCCCCCGAGCCACCTGGCCCAGCCATCCCGGGTCCACGCCCGATGGGCCGCCCGGTCTGCAGGACTTGAGGCCACCGCCCGCGGCTGCCCCGAGGGACCACATTTCCCGACAAGCCATGCGCCAATGTCTCAGCACTTCCGGCCAGCGCCGACGTTCAGCGGCCCGCACGTCCCGACAAGCCTAGCGCCCCTGGCGACACTGCTGTCACATGTTAGGCTATTGGACAGCTTTGCAATGATTGTATAACACTTCGGAAAGTACAGGGCCGGGATGTCCCTGGCAGTAAAGTCGTCTGGCCCCCAAACCCGCTGGGACCGCACTTCCCGCCTGCTGCCAGGCTCACGCCGCCAGCCGACCCTCAGCCTCCACTGGCGCGGAGTTCCCAGCATGCTTTGTAGTCGCGTGTTGGTCCCATATGCATCGTCCGTCTCTCCCAGGATCCCAAGTGGAGGGTTCCGGGATGGCAGGCGGTCCAACTATCCCCTTTTTGTTTCTTCCCGAGTCTCCCCTGTCCCTTGGGTGTACTTATTGGCTGGAAGGCAGCTTGGCATGAGCGTCTTTTCTCATTCCTAATTAACAGCAGAGTCTTTGCTTCTTCGCCTCCCAAATGAGAATTCAGAAAACTTAACTGCTGTGAGATGCACAGGTCTGTTTCAGGACATAGCACCTACAACCCTAAAAATGTACACAGACTTTCAAGCATTAATTGACTTTGAACTCTGAAGCAGGATTTCTTGTCTCAAGCCCTTTGCACACGTAGTGCTTTTCCTCTACCTGGAGTGCTTTTCCTTCAAAAATCAAGATCCAAAGATACTAGAGAAGCCTTCCCTGACCTCGAGGGGAGGAAGGAATCAGTTGCTACCTACCTCTGGGCATTCACAGGCAAAGATTAATTGGTTGTGTTTTCCCTGTGGTGTACTTTTTCCCTCACATTGGTGACCCAATTACACTTGGAGTCACACTGATTTGCAAATGTGTGCATTTTTATTTTGAAATAATGTCTAATATGTTGCAGGGTTGTCCAGGGGACCAGTCCCAATAGAAGAAAAAAGAGGCTGGGCCTGTCCCATCTCCAGTGCCAGCTGTCAGTGGCAGCTGAGGCCTTGTGGGGTGAGTATCTTCTGGAGGTAGCAAAGGCCTTTCCAGAGAGGAGCCAGGCAGCCAAAGGTAAGCACTGGGAGGGTTCCATTTCTGCCTTGGGAAATCCTGGGAAGTTGGAAATTGGCACCTGCTCCCAGGGGTTGGCCTTTGTCCCTGGTGTCCCAGTGTGCATGCCTAAATTCACTGTATAAGAGCTCAGGATCCTTTCCCAGTGAGCCAAGACATGTCGCCAGTCCTGCAGAGAGGAGGAGGGATCAGGACAGAATACAGCAGGTTCCCCACTCTAGGCACCATGAATAGCTGACTCTTGAAGACAGCTGGGTCATTGCTCTGTGTCAGATCCTGGTACCCAGCAGGGAAATTCATTTGGGCAGGTTGTGGGGGTGGGTAGATCATTGGGTAAAGGCTCAAAATGGTCAACACGAAGAACACAGAATACACGTACTTGCTGTGTAGCATAAACAGCCTTTGGGAAGGCAAGAGGAAAAAAAAGAGAAGGCCAGGGAAAAAGAATGTCATTCATCATGTCTGTTCTTGATCCTCCATTGTTTCCAGCTGAAGGACTACCCCTGTCCTCCAGCTCGCCAGTAGCTTTTGGGCTTTCCCCAATCCCAGGGAGCTCTCTGTAAACAGTTCAAGCCTCAGGAGGTCTCTCACTGGCACCATGCTGGGAAAAGGGTAATGGCCAATAGCCAGTGCCTCCAAGACCCCAAGCAACCATCTCAACATCTCTGCAGGGTATACCCAGGTACTTCTGTAGGTGTGTCTCCCCATCTAGTTTCTACCAGGATTAGTGCAAATCCCATGACGTATCTAGGCAAAGTGATCACCCAAGCAGTGGGCCTTGACTCCTCCCTACAACACTGGCTGTTCCTTGAGGCACACAGCCCTTTCCTTTCTGTTCCATGAGCACATATCACCAGCCTTCTCCCAGATCACAATCTATGCTCCACACTGCCTTGTAACCCTGGAAACTTCAGACTGATGGAAACCAAAGAGGGGAAGAGTGGGCCCTGGAGGACCATGGATTGGCTGGTTTACGTCCTTCAGGGGACTTCCTCCCCCACCCAAAGCCTCCCACACCCACACTCACTCCACCTCCCGCTTCCGGATGGCACGGCCAGAGGCCAGCACCTCAGCCACCTTGGATACGATGGGATCGTAGTTCATGCTAGCCACAGCAATCACCTCGTCGCCTCTGCGGAGATAGAGTACCTATGCCTAAAGACTGCCCATTGACATTCTTTCTTGAAGACCCTGACACACTCCTGTCCACCTAGGCCCAGGGTAATATCTTGCCCTGGGAAACAGAAATACCCTGAGCATTCAGTCCTCTGTTTGTCCCAACGCACAACTCCAGCTCTCAGCAGAGTTTGGGCTGGGCCTGAGCTGGCAATCTCTCCAGATGTGACTTTCCTCACTGTAAAAGCAGGGCATCAACATCCACCTCAAAGAACGGTTCAGAATACGCACTGACTCTCCCACAACCCTGCGATGGCAGACAGTTATTACTGCCACCTGCTTACCTTCCCTCCTGCCCAGCTGCCTCCCTTTGCCCTTGGCCCACTGTTTTGGTAATGTCTTCTCCTCAGGAGCAGAGCTTTTCTGGAATGATTCTCCCTTCACCACTGAGGTCCAGCTGTCCCCCTCCCCCGCAACCTGAACCCCACCATTCTCACTTGGTATAAAAAGCCACAAATTTCAGCTCCTCCAGGTCGCCTTGGATGATGACATCGTCAAAGCCTTCTCCATAGCCTGTGGGCAGGACAGGTGGGTGGTGCCCAAATGAGATGTGTTAGGGCTGGAGGCTTCACAGGCTCCCCACCCTGTGCCTAACTTCTTTCTGGTCAAGCTCCCTGGTTCCTTATTTCTTATTTTAGGTTATCCATACAAAAATGAGTTCTTGAGCCAGGCGTGGTGGCTCAGGCCTGTAATCCCAGCACTCGGAAGGCTGAGGTGGGAGGATCGTTTCGAATTCAAGACCAGCCTGGGCTACAAAGTGAGCTCAAGGCCAGCCTGAACTGCATAGCGAGACCCTGTCTCAAAAAAAAAAAAAAAAAAAAAAAAAAAAGAAAAGAAAAAAAGAAAGAGTTCTTACCTGCTTCTTCCAATGCAGCCATGGCCCCACCCCTAAGATTCTTCAGGCCCCCCAGCCACAAGCCCCACCCCAAGTGCTCCGGGCCCCGCCCACTGCAAGGCTAGTGGGTTACCCGCATAGCGCAGGCTCTTGCCGAACATGGCAGTCCACAGGTAGGGCACTGTGCTGATTTCCGCTTCCTGCGCCAGCATGTTCTGGGCCGCCACTCGCCCTATGAAACCCAGGAAGTGAGAGCCCCGACCCTGGCCCTCATCACCCCAATACTGCCTACCCCACCGTTCTAGGGACCTCTGCCAGCTGTAGCTATTCCTGGACTCCCTGCAGATCCAGAGGTGCACTATTGCTCAGCCCATAGCCCATCTGCAGGATCACTCTTTCGAAAAATCTGAATGTTGGGATGGCACGATTCTCTGCTTCACTATTTCAGCTTTGCATGCAGAGAACTAATCTGACACATCAGGTCTGAAAAGGGAGGAGAATAGAGCACAAGCGGGAAGGAAGCAGAAATGACAACTGCATGCCGGGTTCCAGGAAAATATCATGGGTCGGTTCTCAGTGCCTGTAGGGACCCTCTAGACCCCATAACTGGATATACACGAGAATCCCTGGGCTCTCACAATTAAATCCTAAATCTGTTTGTTATCTCATTGAGAAGTAACTTTGGTTCTTTACAATCTGGCAGTAACTTTACACTTGGACAGAAATGGACTAGAACCAAAATTGGTACCAGGAGTGGGATTTCAGTCAGCAGAAGATCTCTTCAAATAATGACCAAAGTAGAAGAAAAAGTTGTTAATGAATGCAAGGAGGAGTGTCCCAGACTGAGAATCTGGTGCTCCTTTCCATGAGGTGCTGAGGTGATTAACTTACTGTCACCTGCTGCTTAGGGGCCCATATCAGGTATAGTGGGTAGGACTTAGGAAGCTTCATGGCCACCAAATATAGGGAGGGGATAGCTATTCCATAGAAAGCACAATGTTACTACTGAGCACAGGCTAAATAGTTGCCTCCAGGGAACTGGATGAGGCCAGTGAGTTCACAGATACAGTCAAGTGGCTCAAGGAAGACAGAAGCACTGTGTGGGAAGCTAGACTACTAAATACCTCTCCTCTCCAGGGTAACTACACAGGGTGATTAGGAATTCTGAGGAATCTGTCCTGTGGATGAAAGCAATGCTGAGACTAATGGAAAGACAGCCGGAATTGGGAGACTGTGTCTGACTAAGTGGAATATCTAGTGGGTGCTAGAAAAAGGTCTCTGTCTCCAGACATGAGCCAATAGATTGACTCTGCACTGGCTTAATCACCTGGATGAGGCTGGCCAGACTGGCCAGACTGGCCACCACAGAGCCTTGAATGTTTAACACGGCATCTAGGACCCCAGACCAGCAACTAAGCCATGGCTGGGGAAGGCCGAGACCTGGGACACCTTCCTCCCTGAACCCGCCTCAGAGCTGGCATACCCTGGGCATGAGCCATCTGCCAGTGTGGGATGTTCACTTTCCGATTGTTCCTCCAGGCAAGGGGAAAGGTAACAGCATCACCAGCTGCAAACACGCCTGGGATGTTGGTCTGCATCATCTGTGGAGAGAAAGCCAGGGCTCCATGGGTGGGACAGGGGCTGACCTGGACCTTGAGCCACCTCCAGCCCAGCACCCTGTCTGTCCCACTCAGCCCCACCTTATTGACGGGGATGAAGCCACGAGAATCCAGACCAATGCCGCTCTGCCTCAGGAAGCCTGTGGCGGGCACTGCACCTACCAGGACAGAAACCACCACATCCACACTCTGGACTCCTCCTGCTTTCCATGCCCCATTCTCTTCACCTGCTGTATCTGCTCTGTAGGGTCCCTGGACTTCCCGTGCTAGAGCCTTCACTCATCCTGCTGAGTCTGCCTGCACCTCCACCAATTCTCATGCCTCCCTTCAGGCCTCATGTATCACCTCCTCCAAGAAGTACTCCATGAGCCCTTGGGGAGGGCCAGTGCAACGTGTCTCTCCAACCCCTGTGCAGCCACCTCCAAGCTTTGGCCTGGCACCCAAACTGCTACATCAGCCGGAGTAGGGACTAATTAAAGCTTGCCTGTATTCTTCAGGCCTCACGGGGCACAGCAATAGTGGGCTAAGCTGGGTACACATTTCCCAATGACTCTGTAAAGTGGGTATCATTGGAGTCCCCATTATATAGATGTGGAAACTGAGACTCTGGGAGGGGAAGGGACTAACCCAAGTTCATTTGTGAGCATGTGTACATGCCTCTGTTCATTCACCCAATGACTCACCAATGCCCACCACGCAGACATCAGCCCGCACAACCTTGCTGCTCTTCAGCACAACTTCCTTCAGCTGTGGGGAATGGGCGGATGATCAGAGGGACCCAGCTGGGCACAGGCAGAGGGGACAGAAAGCAGCAGCAACAGAGAGGCAAGAGAGGGGCTCACCTTTCCCTCCTGAGCCCGAAGCTCTGACACCTCTGTCTGCATGTAGAACTTCACCCGGTTGTTCTCAAACATCTGTCCAGGCAGCATGGCGGATGGGCAGGGGGTAAGAGCCCAGGTGGGGACGAGGCTGAACTCCCCATGTTCTGAGGCATGCTGAGGCCTGGGGCAGGCTCACCTTCAGGAGGGCACGACCCACACGCTCCCCCAGGAACTTCCTGAAGGGTGTCTCCTCCAGCTCCACCACAGACACTGAATGGGCCTTCTCAGTCAAATAGGCGGCCACCTCCATCCCTGGGGTGGTGAGCAAGGGTGGCAGGGCTGGCGCACCCTGGAACTGGCTAAGACAGCCTGCTCACCATCCCTACCACTCCCCCTTGCTCACCCAGGAAGCCGGCTCCCACAACGACTGCATTGCGGCCCCGGGCCAGCCTCACCACACGGTTGGCATCCTCAGGAGTGCGGATGGTGAACACGTTTTCCACTTCTTTTCCTTTACAGCTCAGGGTTTTAGGGCTGAGACAGGGTGCATCAGTGAGACCCCCCTCATCCTAACAGCATCCCACCCAATGCCTGAGGAGGGCAGGAGACACCCTCCCACCTGCTCCCAGGGGCTAGCAATAGCTTGCTGTACTCCAGCTTGAAGCCATCCTTAAACACGACCTTCTTGTTTCTCACGTCCACTGTGACCACCTGCAATCCCGAGGAGCAGAGTGTGGGCCTGGGCATGCACCAGGGCCTTGCCACCCACTTCCAGGTCCTGCAGTAGGCCCAGAGCCCAGCGAGACTTCTGAGCAGTTCCCACGGAAGCTTCATTCTTTAATAAGCTTCAGGCATCACCTGCTCTTCCAAGCCCTCTCTATGTGCCCAAATGCTACCAGGCTCTCCTTTCCAAGCACTGATCAGATTGCCTAGCTTCCTACACTCTGGGGCTCTGGTGCATCCAGAACCCTGCCAGGAAGAAGGTAGTGTTGCCTCCCAGGCACAGGCAGTGGGCCTCAAAGGGAAGAGCACCTCCCCACCACCCCTAGGGGTCAAGTGGCTTTGCTCTTCATGGTGCCCACTAACACTTTCCGTGGCCTGTGTCCCACCCACAATCTCGTACCTGAGCCTCAGTGAGCACCTCGATGCCATACGCCCGGAAGAACTCCTTGGGCCTCAGGGCCAGCTGTTCAGGCTGTGCATCCAGAGACTGCAGAACACAGTCAACTTGACATAGGGCCAAGTGGCCACTGCTCCATTTTACAGAAGAGGATATGGAGCCGAGGGAGGGTGAGGCCAGCCCTGGATGACTAGGGGCTGTAGGACAGAACTCAACAAATCCAGATCTTATGGGGGTACCAGAGAAGGACCTGGTGTAAATGGAAAGGGGAGCTGGCCGGACATTCCCTCTCAGAGCTGATAGTTGAGGTTCTAGGTCCCCTGATAGGGATCAGAGGAATCAGGACCTGGGCTTTTTTTTTTTTTTTTTTTTTTTTTGTATCAGGGATCAAACTCACAACTGCGCACTTGCAAGGCAGGCATGCTGACTATCCCCTGTCTGTTCCCCCCTTGCCTGACCCCCACCTTGCTAAGCTTCGGCCGGTCATAGGGGAGATGCCTGTCCAGCGTGCACAGGACGATCCGGTCTGAGAAGCCTTCCTGCCGCAGTGTCTCCGCGCACACCAGGCCAGCAGCGCCTGAAGGGAGGGGCCATGGGCCAGGGACCACTTCTCTTCTAGCCCCAACACCCACACTAACCCTCAGGACCCCGGCACCAACCTGCACCCACAATGAGCACATTGGTACTGCCACTGTGCCCAGCACTTGGAGAGATACACTTGGCCATCACCTTGGTTCTTCGCTGCAGCTGCAGGGCCTGAGTGGTGGGAGGGTGGGGCAGCTGGCAACTGGGGTGATCCCAGCAGGCCGGGTCCTGCTGCTTCATCTCCACCATGCAGCCCCTTACTCTGTTCCCAGCCACATATGCCAGGCTCCCTTCCAGTACCCCACCGTGCCCTCCCCACCTGTGCCTGAGCCCTGAGCCACCCCTTCACCTGTTTGCTGGCACGGACATACACTTTCTCCTTCTCAATCTTCACCTGCAAGGACAATGTCACTCGAGATCAGACTTTGGGCTATTCCAGCCCCTGACTCTACACTCAAGCCACACTATACTCTCAGCCCCACCTGGAACTTGTGCAGACTGTCCAGGCCTGGGAAGTCCTCCAGGTCCCCAGTACTGATGTTGAAGCAGGCACCATGCCAGGGGCAGCGTACCCGGCCTCGCGACAACACACCTGAAAGAGGGTGGTGCTAAACTGAAGCCACCAGCCAGGGCTCCTCCCAAAAGACCTGTGTCCCAGCACCTCCCAGTCGTCTCCAGTTCAGGAGACCCCATTAATACATGAGGACTCTGGGGCCAAGGGATGGGTCGGGTCAGCCTGAGGGGAATGGCACCAAGGCCAAGCCCTCTGGGGAGGCCCTGCCCCCTGTTCCATGTGCACTCTGATGTCTCACCTTTCACCAGAGGTGCACCGTAGTGTGGGCACTTATGGCCCAGGGCGTGGAATTCCCCATTGTCCTTCACCAGCAACACCTTCCCCCAGCCCAGCTCCACTTCCCGCATCCTGGAGAGGGGCTGCACTCAGAGGCCAAGCCAGACAAGTGACATCAGCCTGGGACACCTCTTCCCAGAGTTCAGCCTTCTGCAGAGTAGGCCCAGACCACAGAAGCCACAGAGGCGGTGACCCCTTGGTCGTGCCTAGCCCCTCCAGACCCGCCCCTACCTGGTTCCCGGTTTCTCCGTAGCCTCTGCTATGCAGCCTCCCACCCTCATGTCCTCCCTCCCAGCCCAGAACCCACTGGCCATTCTCTAGGTCCTTGACATGGCAGACGGCAGCTTCCACGCAGTCCTGAGGGCCAGGGTAGGAGTGAGGGGCTGGCAGGCGCTCCTCGGTATGGAAGTGGCGGGCTGTGCCATTGCCTTGGTAGGCCCGGGGGCTTCCCTTCCCGCTGGCAGAGAGCTCGTCCTTGCCCCGCTCCTTCTCAGGCAGCACCACCTCAATCTTGAGCTCCACTGTGGGCAAAGCCATGCTGTGAGCCCCTCTAGTGGCTCATCTCCTCCCTTCCCACAAGCTTCGGGGACAGGCCAGCCCTGCTGCGGCTGCAGCGCTCAACCCTGTCCTGCTCCCTCCCCAGACAGTTCTCTACACCCTCTGCAGAGAGGCAGAAGAAACAGCACAATGGCTCATGCCTACAAACCCAGCACTAAGGGAGGCTGAGGCAGGATTGACTGCAAAGTTAGAGTCCAGCCTGGGCAACTTAGCCAACTGGACTCAAAATAAGAATTCAAAGGGTTAGGTTCAATCCCTGGTATCAAAAACAAAAAGAAATAAAAACATGAAACATGTTGAGCTAGGCATAGTGGCTCATGCCTGTAATCCCAGCACTTGGGAGGCTGAGGCAGGAGAATCACTGCAAGTTCGAGATTAGCCTGGGTTACAAAGTGAGTTCAAGTTCAGCTTAAACTGCATAGTGAGATCCTGCCTCAAAAGACAAAAGGAAAAAGGAAGGAAGGAAGAAAGGAAAAAAGAAAGAAAGAAAGAAAGAAAGAAAGAAAGAAAGAAAGAAAGAAAGAAAAAAGAAAGAAAGAAAAACATGTTGACAGGGCTGTTATATATAGCTCATATAGACCATACAGCTCAGGCCAGGGATATAGTTCAGCAGCATAGGCACCTACCTGACAAGCACAAGGTCCTGAGTTTGATTCCCAGTACCCACTCCAAAATAATAATTATAATAGAACATATAGCTCAATGGTAGAACACTTGTAAAGCATGCACAAGGCTCTGAATTTGATCTTCAGCACCAAAAAACAAACAAATAAATAAGAAATCACAATGTCACTTCTTAAAATAACTATTCTTTTTTTTTTTTTTTTTTGGTACTGGGGATCAAACTCATAACCTTGAGGTTGCCAGGCAAGCACTTATGCCACTTAAACCCCCAGCAAAATAGCTATTCTTAAAGGGCTTAGTAGTGCACATCCTAGCACTTGGGAGGCTGAAGCAAGAAGACTTCTGTAAGTTTGAGGTCAGCCTGGAATACACAGTGAGATCCTGTCTCAAAGTACCCCCTCCTCCCAAAATAGCCATTCTCACCACTTTGAGATTGATTTATTATTTACTGAACCTTGGAGCTTTGGTGTCTTCAAGTGCAGGTGTTGGAGTCCTGTGAATGAAATTCACATGGGAGCATGTGGATAGCAAAAAGGGTGCAGGGCCCCATCGCCTTTTTTCCCTCTCTTTTTCTTTTCTTTTTTTTTTTTTTTATTGGTACCGGGGATTGAACTCATGACCGCCTGCTTGCAAGGCAGGTGCTTATGCTGCTGAGCTAAATCCCCAGACCTTCCTTCCTTCCTTCCTTCCTTCCTTCCTTCCTTCCTTTCTTTTCTTCCTTCCTTCCTTCCTTCCTTCCTTCCTTCCTTCCTTCCTTTCTTTTCTTCCTTCTTTCTTTCTTTCTTTCTTTCTTTCTTTCTTTCTTTCTTCTTTCTTTCTTTCTTTCTTTCTTTCTTTCTTTCTTTCTTTCTTTCTTTGTACCAGGGATTAAGCTCACTGAACTACATCCTTAGCATCCCCCCCACACCTTTTTAAAGAGGTCTGGAACTTGCAATCCTCCTGCCTCAGCCTCCTAGAGCCCTGGAATTACAGGCTTGCACCACTTTGCCTGGTTTGTCATATTCTTCTTATACTTTTCCAGATTTTTCAAATTCCCTACAGTATGCCTGGGATATTTTTCTAATTAGAAGGGAACAGTAAACAGAATTTTTAGCAGTGCTAATCTGGCCTCCTGGGCTGCTGCAGCACAGAGGAGACTGAGGAGGCAGCGGCTAAGCCCTTGGCACAGCATGGGCTCGTGTGGGGGCAGGTGCTGCCTCTTGATTCCCAAGGGACAGGCCCCTCCAGACCTGCCCTGGCTTCACCTCTCCGCCCCTCCACCTCAGGCCTGATACTCCAGGAACGAAGCGCTAAACAAGCTGCATGGCTGCTCAGTCACAACTCAAGGCCTTTGCCAGTGCTGTCTGCTTGTTCCGGGCTGCCATCCTTTAGGTCCTTGAGCTTCTGCTAACTGCTACCCATCCACCCATACACTGCTCCTGTATTTTCTCTCCTGGCTGCAGGGCCCCTACATGTCCCCCTCTCAAGCTGAGCTACTCCCAAACCAGAGATGGAAACCACGCCCTCTTCCCCCGCATCTGGATGTCCCAGCCTCTAGCTCAGGGAGGCTGTCCTGTCCAGTAGGGATTTCCCCTCCATTTTCCATACTTTACATAACAGTGTTAGATTGTTTTTGGAAGAATTAAAAAGGAAAACACTGTAGACTCAGCTGACATCAGCGAAGAGCACTGTAGGGGCCCATCGAACAGCCTGGCGGGGTACCAGATGACAGCCAAGTCGGCTGTTCTCCACCACTCCCTTCCAGAAGGCTCCAAAGCACACCGACTGATGCAGTCTAACAGAAAGCCATCAAGTCGGGGCAGCAGCAGAAAGTGCGTGAAGAGGAGGGTCTCTGCTTGTCCCCAAACCAGATCCACCCCAACTCTTCCTTCCCAGCTGCCTTGCCTTATAGGCCCCAAGATGCCTTAGTCATTAAATGGAGAGACCAGGCTGGGGTGCAGCTCCGTGGCAGGAGATGTGCATAGCATGCCCCAGACCTTGAGTTCATTCCCAGCACTTCCCTCCCACCGTCCCTCAAAAAGGAACAGTGTCTACCTGTTTGGTGATAATGAATGTTGAAAGAGACAATATATAATGCAGAGTAGAAGCTCAACAGATGGAATTGGGTTATAGTGTTTTTGGGGGTCATTTGTTAGTTTTTGGTGCTGAGAACTGAACTCAGGGCCTCTCACATGCTAATCATATACTCTACCACTACGCCACACCCCCAACCTGGTAGTAGTATTTTATCAATTAGCTGCGAGCTTCCTGGCAGCCACGGCAGAGAGGGAAAGCCATTAGGTAGCAGGCACACACACCCTGCTGGCAGTGCTGGGGATTGAACTGAAGGCCTTTGAACTGAGCTATGTCTCTTTTTTATTCAGCCCTTTTTATTTTGTATTTTGAGACAAGGTCTCACTAAGTCATTAAGCTGCAGTCATTAGGCTTGGCTCAAAGTTGCAATTTTCCTGCTCAGCCTCCCAAAGTACTGGTATTACTGGTAATTGTGCCATTTTATACATATAAACATGGAGGATTAGAGAGGTGTTTCCCTGTCTTAGGCTACACAGCCAGTAAGGAGTAGAGCAGGATTCAGGCTCAAGAACACAAATTTTTAGCATTGCGTTTTGGGTGTTAAGAATGACTAACCCCGGGGGCTGGGGATTTAGCTCAGCAGCATAAGCGCCTGCCTTGCAAGCAGGCAGTCGTGAGTTCAATCCCTGGTACCGACAAAAACGAAAAAGACAAAAAAAAAAAAAAAAAAAAAAAAAAGAATGACTAACCCTGAGCCAGGCGTGGTGGTGCACTCCTGTGATCCCACCACTCAGGAGGCTGAGGCAAGAGGATTGTTACAAGTTTGAGACCAGCCTGGGCTACAAAGTGAGCTCAAGGTCAGCCTGAACTGTATAACAAGACCCTGTCTCAAAAAGACAAAAAAATAAAAATAAAAGACCCCAGGGGCTGGGGGTATAGCTTAGTGGCACAAGCACCTTGCCTGGCAAGTGCAAGGTTCTGAATTCAATTCCTGGTACAATACAAAAAGCTAACCTTATACTAATAATCCTGAGGACCAGGGCTCCAAGGCAGATTAGTCTTTTGGGTCCTCTAAAAGAACCAGCAGGTGGCATCTTCTGCCCAGGGCCTCCTGCCAGCTCAACAGCCCTGTAGACACCCAGGATGGGGCCAGCCAGCACCTCCTGTCCACTTCTGAGGGGGAGAAGACTGGGGCCAAGGCAATGGATGCAGTTTGCACAATCCATACTTTAAAGCAGGGAGGGTGGTGGGATGTAGCCCAGACCCAGGTGCCATGGCTGCCATGGTGGGAGGGAGCACAGTTTGCAGGTGGGTCCCCCTGCGGGAGGGGGCATCACAGCTCTCCTCCTGCCCTCAAGTTCTCAGGTCCAGGAAAAGGAGAAAAGGTTCACAAGTTCCAAGGTAATGGAGCCGATGGGTATCAGGTAAGGGGAGCCGGGGTGTGGTGGCCAGGCCAAGGTGGCCTGAGTGGGGGTGGGTGGAGCACAGGCTGGGTTCTGGAGGCCTCTCTGGGCCTCAGTTTCTTCAACTGTAACATGACTGTACACCCTACCTTCCTGGGTGCTATGAGGAGGGAAGAGGAAAAGTGGGGGTCAGCGGGAGAGCCCCATACACATAGTTCTCTCCTAGAGAGCAAAGCTGGATTCTCCCATCACTCTGGAATGTTTCTAGCCTTGACTAGGGCTACCTGGGATAGAGAGCACAGATTTCCTGTGCAAAACAGAACGCATGATCAGAGAGGCCAGTGTGGCAGCTTACAGTCAGAAGAGGTAAAGAGGTAGGGACCTGCCCACTACATTCTCCTGTGACAGGTCAAGGCAGGCAGGCTCATCTTTCAGAGAAGGAAACTGAGGCACAGAGCGGTCACACAACAGCTGGAGGTATCTCTACAGTTCCCTTCCAGCTCTAGGGGACACAGTCCCTTTGCCAGTCCTGCAACAAGAGAAATCTCCTTCCCTTCCCAAGAAGGATCCAGCTGCTATTCCCACTACAGCACTCAAAGCTTCAAATAAAGAGGGGCACCCACTGGAGGGGGATCAGGAATTCTCGAGGTCTTCCTACCCTCCTCTGGCCAGCAGCGCATTAACATTCCGGGCTCCTGCCTAGCCTGACCTACTTCGGAGGCTGGCTGAGTGCAGAGGGGGAGGGGAGGAAGGCAGTGGAGGAGGAAGGCAGGGAGGGAGGCAGGGCAGAGGTAGTGACAGAGGAGGAAGGTACCTGGCTTGGGCTTAGAGAAGCAGCCGCCCATGGTGAGTGTCCTGAGGCAGGCAGCCGAAAAGAACAGATGGTTGGGCTGTGGGAAGCTTAGGGCGCCCCCCATGGGGCTGGATCCCCTGCGACCCTTAGCGATGCTGGAGCGGCCATCCCAGCTGGGGCTGCCTCTAGGACCTGCAGGGGAGACTGGGAGCATAAGGACAGGGCTTTGATGGAGTTTGCAGGTAGAAACGATGACAGGCAGTTTCTAGAATAGTCCTACATTTGAGCTGTAACTGTTGCATGCCAGGGACCCTGGAAAGCACCCCACCTTTGTGGCCCTCTCAGCTCAGCCCCTCAGGCCCCTTCTTGCCTTTGCGTGGGCTAAGGGGATCTCTTCTGTCCCAGTATTGACTACCACCCACCGCCACCACCTCCACCCCTGCTGCCCAGTCCCGCAGCTGGCTTGTCCTAACTCTCCCTGAATTCTGCTAATCTAAGCCTGCAGCCTGCCACTTCCTCTCTCCAAATCCCACAGTCTGGGATCAAGCTCTGAGTCCCTCCATTTTCTCAGGAGGCCACTGTGCTTGGGTTAAAACCTAGGTCACTTTGGGCAAGCCAGAGCTTGCCTGGTCCCTGGGGTTCTCTTTCCTACAATAGGAGGGACATAGGATTCTCCCTGGCCTGGCCTCCACCCTGGCTGATGATCCCTGGACACCCACCTCTTCTGAGGGCAGCCACTGCTCCTTGCTCACAGCCCAGCAGTGGATAGAGGGTGCCTGGCCTTGGAGGCAGAGCAGGGAGGGCAGGGGTCCAGGAGACAGACCAGCCTCCTCCTCCGCCTCTCCTCCTAGTGTGAGCTGGGGCAACAATGAGGGGCTGGGGGTGGGGTTAGGCCAGTCCACTGGTCCCCAGGGAAACCCAGCTTCTTGGTGAATAAGAGCAGGCAGCCAGCCTGGGACTGATGGGGTTGGGGGAAAGAGAAGCCAGGCACACAACCCTGCCACAGCCTGTGCTCAGCAGCCACAGCCTAGCCTCCCACCCTGGGCTGGTGGTGCGGAGGCCATGCTGAGCAGCAGACAGAACCAAGGAGCCAAGATCTCATCAAAGTCAAGCCGCAGATGGGGAGGATCCAAGTGACCTCCCACCCTCCTCCTCACCTTCCTTCTAAGATAGGCAGGGCCCCAGGAGGTGACCTATCACCCTAAGGCCCTCCAAGGCACTCTGGGGGATGGGACACCTGGTCAGCAGAAAGCTCACTGCAGCCAAGGTGTTTCAAGGCCACAGGGTGGGCCTTCTGGGAGATGCAGCTTACAGGTGGACTTTGGAAGGGCTCAGGCAAAGGTATAGCTACTTTGTTTACAACTGATCTCTTCACTGTCATCTGCCTGTTTCCCCTGGAATTTCTCCCTGAAGTCCAATTCAAGTGCTGCTGAGGTCCATTTGATCCAGCTAAGACTCCAGGAAGGGCAGGGGACAGGTACTGAGGCCAGGGGGCCAAGGAGGAAGGACAAGGGTTGGGAAGGGCCACCCACTACCTGGCCAATGATCTTACCTGCCCCAAAGACACACATTACAGGCAAGTAGGTACCCACAGCCATTTAAGTGTACCTTTGCTCTTTTCCCTGTTTGTCACCAAGGCATGTATATGAAACTCAGTGACCACCTGCCCCTTCCCCAGGCACTGGGGAACCCCTCACCAGCCGGGGTTCAGCTGTTGCTCAGTCCTGGCCTCCCCCTTCCTGCCTGGACTCAGGGTTCCCCTGCTGGGCCACAGACCCCAAACACTGTTAGTGCCCATTAACCCCCACTTCTTGCCTTCCCAGGTGCCCAGAAGCAGGAAAATTGGGAGGGCCACTCGTACCTATAGTGTACCAGGTCAGTTTGGGACCAGTCAACCCAACTCAAATGTCTTTCTTAGCACTGTAGGAAGTGGTTCCCAGGGTTTTTGCTTCCCAGTGTCCCCCTGCTGAAAAGTTCTAACAGTGCCCAATGCTAACTACCAGCCAGGGGGCAATGATCCCTCCCAGGGGCCTGAGAGGCAGGTAGTGAATCATTTCCACTTCTCAGAGATGCAGGTGCTCCCCCCCCCCCAAGAACTCCTAGGCCCCCAGGAACCTCTTTCTCTCCAGGGCGGGCCAATCGCTCCCTTCCTGGTCCCATTCTTCACCCCGGGGGGTCTCCCGCCCAGCTTGGGCCCTAAGTGAGTAGCAGGCACAGAGGATGGCTTCTGAGCATCTCAGCCCGAAATACAAGTTTTGGGGGCTGCGCTGCCACCCCTCCCGCGCAGCTCTGGCTCTGGCCTCTGTCCACTCTCCCTGCCTTTGCACGTGTAGCTCTCTGCGTTCTGGTCCCCGCACCACACCCGGCAGCCCAGGAAAGGGACTGGGAGCTGGAAGGGTCCGCTGGAAGCCGGGAGGAAGGGCCGGCGGGAAGAGGTTGGAAGGGGCGCCCCAGATCCCAGCTTGTCTCTTTGGTCCCAGCTGACGACCCTTGTCCCTCACTCACGGGCCCGGGGTCCAAGATCCGAGAACACGCCGCTGGCCCCGGCGGCGAAGGAGCGACGTGGCCAGGGCAGCTGAGTGGGAGCCGGGTCCCACGGCCAGGGTCCCCGCAGCGGGCGCTCACCTGGGCGCCGCGAGGGCCTGGGCTCTGGAGCCGCTCGGGGCCGCGGCCGCTGGGGGTGGGGTGCGGGGAGGCGCGGCGGGGGCGGGGCCGGCGCTGCGGCGACACTGCGGCCGGCCGGAGCCCGCGGCGCCCAGCACCTCCCCGGCCTGGGGCGGCGGCGGGTGGCCGGGGGTCAGGGGTGAGGCGGGACCTCCGCGTGCGGCTCAGAGTCGCGGGACGTGGGACACTGCCCTTCTGGACGTGGGCGCCCAGGCCGGGTCTGGACCCTCGAGGATTCCTGCGACCCCAGAGAGACCCTAAACTGGGCCACACGCCGGCTGGGATTGTCTCCGAACCGTCCCCAGGCTGCGTAGGGGACGGTGAATCTCTGCGTGAAACCTTTCCAACAAAGAAAATCCAAATCGCTCCCTTTCGCCCCTGAGTCCTTCCCCTGCCTGCTTGCAAGAGTTCAGTCTCCCTGTTCACCAGCTCCACCGGGCCCCGTCTGTCTCCCCACACACGACAGGATCTGTTTTAGAGTCTGTTTTCTTTTTCCCACCTGTCATTACGCCAGGAGAACTTTTTGGATCTCTGTAAATCGTGGAATTGTGCTCCTTCCTCGAGGAAGCCCTCCCTGACCAACCTCTGCATACCTGATGGCGGGTTTCATTGTCCTGACTAGGTCCATCTCTTCCAATCTATCCCTGTGCAGTTAAGTATGTGGGAACTGACACAATGGCTCACTCACAACCAGGGAAGTGATGTCACATCTACCATCAAACACACGGTGCCCACCAACTCTGTTGGGGGTGGGAGGGAGGCAGGACTGCCCTCCTGCACCTCTCAGTTCACTTTACAGACGGGAGTGAGGCTCCACTGAGGTCTGCATGGGTCACATCCAGGGCAGATGGCTGGAGGCCACGTGCGACTCAGATCAGTCTTCCATAGCCACCTCTTGTTGATTGTTGCCACTGCCATTGGCAAGGCCTCATCACTAGGCAGGTGACTCTGCCAGAGCCTGATGCCGTTGGGCACCAACAAGCCAGCTTTTTGCTCCACACACATGCTGCTAATGTGCCCACCTCCATAGTTGCACCCTATCGGGAAAGGTAACAGGGACCCATAAATAGCCATGGCCCTGGCTTCACACATTTTTATTTTTAATCTTCACAATAGCTTTTTGAGCATCCATTTTACAGATGAGAAAACTGAGGCTCAGAGAAGTTAGGGACTCCCCGAGGTCACACAGCTAATTCTTGGCACAGTTGGGACTTGAACCCTGGCAGCCTGGCTCAGCTGCACTGGAGTATGAAATAGAGGGTTGGGAGTATGAGAGAGACCGTCCAGGATCAGCCAAGACCATAGCATCACCAGTAAAAGGCAGAAGCTCTGCTCTGTGATCCTGGCAGCCAGTGAACTCTTCTGTTCCAACTTCCCCAGGACACATGCAGGAGACTGCAGTGCCCACCTCCCAGGATCGCTGACAAGACACTAACAAGGCAGAGTCAGGAACAGGCCATTGGGAGCACTCAGGAATTTGGGTGGGGGCTGCTGAGTTTGGAGTACCAGAGATGAAAGTGGAAAGACAGGGCAGTACGGGGACCCTGAGGAGGCCACGATCCTGTGGAGACTCCCTGGTGTGGGGCAAGTCCATCACGATACAATTGGTCCTGGGGATTGGACTCTGGGCTCCTGCTGCCCCACAGGGAAAAGCTGCTAAATCATTCTAAAGCAAAAGCTAAACCCAAAGGCAGGCTAGGAAAACTGCCCCACGAAGGGCCCTCTTGCTTGAGGGTGACATATGTGGTCAAAGGAAGGAGGACCCAGGAGGGTTCTGTGTCCTGGATGACCTGAGGTCCTGTATGCTCCAGAATAATTCTGTCTCTGACTCTGATAAAAGTCTAGCAGCCTTGACAATGCTAAATTCAGTGAGTTGACCTAATGTGGCTGAGCGCCCCCACCCCAGACCCAGTGGAGACTTCAAAGGAATGATGAGGTTTGCTGAGGTTGGAGAGACTGCCAGGGATTTGGCTCAGTGGCATAAGCGCCTGTCTGGCAAGTTCGAGGTCATAAGCTGGATTCCCGGGTCCAGAAAGAAAAAAAAAGATACTGAGTGTGGGGAGGATCAGCCTACAGTCAGGGGCAGGAGCTGAGCCCTACAGGTCAGCAGCCTGAGCACCCAGCAGCCTGAGCACCGTATCATCCAACAGCAGCTTTTTCCTGCGCTCCTTACATCTCACTACTGCCATTTTCCGTTGTGCTCCTTCCCCCTTCCTGAGGGTCTCCAAGTTAGGGCATACAGGATGGTGCTTTTTAGGTTTAAGAAAACAAAACAAAACAAAACAAAAACTAGCTCTGGGCAAGATAGTGCACACCTGTAATCCTAGCACTCTAGGAGGTAGAGGCAGGGAGAATCAAAATTAATAAGACCTTGTCTTGATATTAAAAAAAAAAAGTCTTGTGGCTGGGCGTGGTGCCTCATGTCTATAATCCCAGTACTTGGGAGGCTGAGGCAGGAGGATCACTGAGTTTTGAGACCAGTCTGGCAGACTCAGTTAGTTCAAGGTCAACCTGAACTGCAGGACCCTGTCTCAAAAAAGAAACAACAAAGTAAACAAAAAAAAAAGTGTTGTGGATGTAGCTCAGTGTGAAGGTCTGAGTTCAATCCTGGCACTAAAAACAAAATAACACAACACAAAACAAAATAAGAAAGAAGAAAAAGCAAGCAAGCTGAGAGAACTGGGATTGGGCTAGCTGATGCACACCTATAATTCCAGTGCTCCGGAAGTGGAGGCAGGGTCTGGAGTTTTGAGGCCAGCCTGAGCTACATTAGGTTTAATAGCTAATATTGGTGTTACACTGGCGCCCCCTAGGGGTCAGCAGAGCTTTGTCTACGTGTAAGGGTTCTGGATGGGTGCAAAACTGCAGACTTCACAGAGGTGGCAGCGAATTTCTAGACAGAGAGAAATCCATCTAACAGAACCCTAAGAAATACCGAGGTGTTCGTACAGCATAGCCACCATCCAAGCTGTGTTGAGTGCTACTTGCAGTCACATATAATCCTACTTACTTATCTGGACAATTTAACAATTTGTCCTTAAAAAAAAAAAGAAAGGAAAAAGGCCTGGGAGCCAGGTATAGTGGTGCACAACTGTAACAACTGTAATCCCAGCACTGAGAGGCTAGTGATTTAGCAAGATCTTACTTTAAAAATTAAAAAATAAAATAGGACGTATAGGGGGATCTGGCTGTGACATCTGTCTCCCTCTGCTTGCCAGGGTTGATTCAGCTGGCCTACCTGGCTAAGCACGTGTCCCCTTCCTTCCTCAGTGCCCCACGTGTGTGCCTCCCAAAGCTGCGCGCTGGGTCGACAAGGATGACTGTCTCGGTAGAGGAGGACCTCTGTCTCCGTCAAGGGTGTATGAATAGCTGTGCTCCCCTGCTAGAACCTCCAAACAAGCTTTCAAAATAAAAAGAAGAAGAGATTAGAGACATAGCTCAGTGTTCAACTGCCAATATCGCAAGAACAAAGAAGTGAAAAACAAAAGGGCTGGAGATATGGCTTGGTGGGAGAGTTTGTTCTACCCCCAGTACCACCATTAAAAAAAAAAAAAAAAAAAAAAAAGATTGGCAGGTGGTGTGTAGCTCATGGGAATGCAAGGCCAGCCTCCACTTTAGTGAGACCATGTCACAAAAACAAGAAAACATAAACGACTTCTACACTCTCAGCAGATGAGCTAGGCTAAGTTGCCTCAGCCAAATGGTAAAATACTCCTGTTCTCCCATGATGAGGTTTATAACTGCATTGTAAACATTTTTTAAAAACTACTACAGCATTATTTTTTATAATTTGGGATGGTTTTGCTGAGTCACTAAATTGCCCAGCCTGGGCTCAAATTTTTGATCCTCTTGCCTCAATCTTCAGAATGTTGAGATTATAAGCATGCCCCACCAGGCCTGGTTTAATTTTTTTAAAAATATATTGCTGTTGAACATATAAATTGAAGGGGCTGGGGATTTAGCTCAGTGGCATAAGCACCTGCCTTGCAAGCACGCAGTTATGAATTAAATCCCTGGCACCAAAAATAAAATAAAATAATAAAATAAAATAAAGGGAATCCCTACAAAGGGCAGCTCTCAAAATTGTAAATGTTTAGAGCTGTTGATTCAGAAATGTCACTCGGGGGAACTCATTTTAATGACTTAGGTCCTTTTTGACAGTACGTTCATCAGATGAAATACTATATAGCTCTAAAAAGAAACACATATGATATAACATACATAACAATCTCTAAAATTGATTGGGGGAATAAAGTGAAGTGTATGCTGTCTGTGGGTAGAGAAAAAATTGAATGCATGCCTATAATCCGGGCATTCTGGGTGGGTGAGGTGGGAAGATCAAAATTCAAACCCAGTTGGAGAACTTAGAAAATCAGTGAGAACCTTTTGAAAGAAAGAGAGAGAGAGAGAGAGAGAGAGAGAGAGAGAGAGAGAGAGGAAGAAGAAGAAGAAGAAGAAGAAGAAGAAGAAGAAGAAGAAGAAGAAGAAGAAGAAGAAGAAAAGAAGGAAGGAAGGAAGGAAGGAAGGAAGGAAGGAAGGAAGGAAGGAAGGAAAGGACCGGCTGAGGATGTAGCTCAGTGGGAAGACCCTGGAGAGAGGAAGACTAAAAAAGGGAGGGAGAGAAGGAGGATATATATGTTCAGGGATGTACTTGCTTGTATGTAATGGAATAACGGACTAACTCTGGAAAGATACAATAAACTACAAAAGGTTATTCTGGAGGAGTATAACCAAGATGGTAGAAAGAGCTCTTTCATCTTTTGGGGGGTGGGTTTGTGTGTGGGGAGTTTGGCTGTGTTGCTCAGGCTGGTCTCAAATTCCTGGGCTCAAGTCATCCTCCTGTCTCCGTTTTCCAGTAGTTGGAACTGTAGGCCCATACAACTGCCCTGACATCTTCTGAATAGTGCATCCTATGGATGTCTTTCCTCCAGAGGAAAGATACCTCAGAGGAATTCCTCAAATTCTCTGGCAGGGTCTTTGCGGTCAGGTAGGGTGTGACCTGGCATCCAGAAAGCGCTGGCACCAGCACTTGGGTCTGTCTTCCCAGCTCTGTCCAGGCCCTTGTTCCTCTTGGCGCCCACCCTGGAGGCAGCAGAACATCCACTACTTCCTTCATGGATTTGGTCGCACCACAGCTCCCTGTGCCCTTCGGACCCCCGAGCCTGAACAGCAGGTTCAGAGGCGCTCCCTGGCTACTGGGCCGGGGTCCTCCACGGACTTGCACCTTAGCCAGCCCCTGCAGGCCTCTCTGTGGCCAGGGCCAGGCCTGCCTTGATCGGTAAAGCTCCCCGCTCCAGCGCCCTCTCCTGGGGGCACAGGTCACTTGGGGCTGAAAGCCTAGGCAAATGTGGCAGCTCTTGGGGACGCGAGAGGGGAGCGCCAAGTCCCTCCTCTATCGCCCTGCTCTGCCTCACCTCACCCGGAGCCATGGGCTGTGGAGAAGGCAGGAAATGTGGCTAAATCCTCTCGGGTCTGAGGGGCAGACAGGGTTAGGACAGCGGTGCGCTCCCCCACCTCAGCTCTGCGCAGTCATTCTCACTTCCAATTCAGACAGAGTCCTCTCTCCACAGTAGCCCTTTCTCAAACAATGTCGCCTTCCCGGGCGGGGACCACTGGTAGTAGCACGCCAGGGCGCCAGGGCAGGCCAGCCAAAACGAGGCAGTGTAGGGGTGGGCCACGCCTGGGGTGCGGCCGCTGGAGATTCTACATCACATTTCAGGACTAGGGACCTGGAACAGTTGGCCTCCAGCCTCAGATGCACAAGTCTCTGCAGGTGCACTAGGGTCTAGTAAAGCCAGGCTGCCCTCCTCCCTCAGAGGTAGAGAGGAAAACAGGGTCCTGACAGGGAGACCCAAACCCAGGCTTGCAGAAGCTGGAGCAAACTAGTTAAAAAATTCAGCGTTCCCTGTGCTTCACACCAATAACCCCAGCACTCTGGATAGCTGAGGCAGGAGATTCACCAACCTCGAAAGCCCAGTCTGGATTATTTGATTTTTTTCGAACTTAGGCGCCACCCATGGCCACTTTGGGCAATTTAACAAGGCCCTGACTCAAAAAATAATTTTTTTTTCACGTCAGATGGGTAATGTGCCGATGTCGTAACAAGGTTAGAGGAGGCACATATCATGCATGGAGCATGAACACCTAATCATCACGCTTATGAACCTGAGGATCAAAAAATAATTTTTAAGAAAGGTCTGGGGATGTAGTAGTAAGGCCCTGGGTTTAATCTCCAGGGTGAGGGAAGGGGAATTCAGTGCTTGAACCCAAGAAATCAGAATTTGGGGGGGGGGCAGAGCCCCACTGTGCAGCACTGGTGGAGTGTCAGTGGTGTTGTGTTCAGGGGGTTGGAGGTGACCTAGACTCCTGACTCAGCAGAGGAAGGGGCCACTAAGAACGTTCAAGCCCAGCACGGTGGTGATACATACAGTCCCAGTTTACTCTGCAGCAGAGATGCCAAATTCTGGCTGAGCAATACAGTGATTTATTGAGACCCTTTCTCAGAATAAAGCAAAGCAAAGCAAAACAAGGAAGGGTTGGGAATGTGGCTCAGTGCAGAGGCTCTGGGTTCAATTCCCTATTACTGGGGGTTTAGGCAGGAAACTGTCTCCCTCAGCTAGGGAGGCTCCCTCCACCAGGATTCCATTTCTAGTCCTCAGTGCAGCCAGGAAGTCTTCCCAAAACTGCCAAGAAACTTGGTGCAGCTCTCAGCACCTCTGCAGCCCTAGCTTGCCAGGGCAGGGCGAGCAGAGGAGTCCCGTCTATACTAAGCAGCATCAGTGTGTGGGCAAAAGACTGCAATGACCATTTCAGAATGAATGCACCTGAGACCATGTTAAGTGAAATCAGATGCACAAGGTTAAATATTGCATGGTTATATGAGAAACCCAAAGTATAAAGAGCAAAGAAAAGGTAATAGGAAACAGATCTTTTGCAAATGGGAAGGAGACCAAGAAATGAAGGTGGAGGGGATACAAAAAGAATTAACATGTATTATAGTTGGGTGTGCTGGACAATGCTTTAGTTCCAGAACTTGAGGCTACCCTGGATACAGCGTTTACAGCCAGCCTGAACTACATAGGAAGACCCTGTCTGAATTCCCCTCTTCTGGGCTGAGGATTTAGCTCAGTGGCACAAGTGCCTTCCTGGCAAGCGTGAGATCATGAGTTCAATTTCTGGAACCAAAACCCAAAACAAAATAACAATCTCCCTCTCCACCCTTGTTATGTACCGACTCACACAATCTTTTTTTGGGGGGGTACCAGGGACTGAACTCTCAACCTTGCACACAGGCACTTATGCTGCCGAGCTAAATCCCTGGCCCTGTACCAACTTATAACAACTCCCCACAATGAATGTAATCATACATTGCAAATGTACTAATTAAAAAAAAAAACATAAAAGTGTCAAATAACAAAGCGTGTGTGTGTGTGTGTGTGTGTGTGTGTGTGTGTGTGTGCTGGCATGTTTTAGAAAGCCCCCCAGAATGAAAGATTAGGAGGACTCCAGAGAGCCATCAAGTCTTGGGTAGGGGTGGGGGCGAGGGTGGTGGCATTTTTTTTTTTTTTTTTTGCAGAGTAGGTTGTTAGACCTGGTTGCTGGTCTCAGATCAGGTTTTACCTAACCTAGCGGGGGGTAGGCAGAGGAAACACCCACACAGCAGCCTAAGGGTCACTCCTGCCATAGAGGGACCCAACCTTATTAATACCTTTTCAAACTTGAAGGTATTCTTCACAGATGTTTCTGGATGTAATTTCTTCCAGACTTGATATTTCCAGTTAAGACTAATGTCTCTCAAATTCTGCAGAATCCTCTAAGGTGGCGACAAGGACTACATTTTAGCAGTGCAGTTCTATATACTGTATGAAAGCCAGGCATGGTGGTGCTTGCCAATAATCCCAGCTACTCAGGAGTCTGAGATAGGAAGGTCAATTTGGGAAGATCCTGTCTCAAAATAAGATTTCAAAAGGGAGGTAGGTGAAACAAAAGGGAGGTGGTGGGTGGACTGGGGATGGAGCTCAAGGCAGTGTCCACTTCTCAATATGGGGGGAAAATGCATAGGTTATTCAAGTTTTTACCATAAAAACTGGGAGTTCTCACTGGGCGTAGTGGCTCACACCTGTAATCCCAGCACTCAGGAGGCTGAGGCAGGAGGATCATTGAGAGTTGGAGACCAGCCTAGGCTAAAGTGAGCTCAAGGCCAGCCTGAACTGCACAGCGAAATAAGCATGGAACACAGCACAATCATGTGAAATCAAACATACACTATGCTCAGAGTGGAGGCACAGAAATGAGGGACAGGGTGGCTAATTTAGGGAGTGTATGAGGTCTTTGGCAAGCCTACCAATACAAGTATCCTCTGATGATTTATCCCTCATCAGGGGAGTCACATATTGACAGGAACAGAAAAGAATTTAAGCCAGGTGTGGTGTTGCATGTTTATAATCCCAGCACACTGGAGGTTCAGGCAGTCACCCAAGTTCAAGCCCAGCTGGGCAATTTAGTGATGCCATATCAAAAGAAATACAAATAAAAGGTATTTAAGAAAGGCAATTTATGCTGGGGATTTAGCTCAGTGGCATAAGCACCTGCCTGGCAAATGCGAGGCTGTCAGTTCAACCCCCAGTACCAAAAAACCCCCCGAAACAAACAGGCCCCTCTAGGAACCTAGCTGTTTGTCTTCCATGACTTGGGTTGAAACAATTCTAGTTAATCCATGCTCAGCACATACTTAGATGCTTTCATCTATGGGTACTTAGAAGGAAAAACACCCAATTTCTCTATGATGGTTCAGTCTGTGGGAACCACTACCCCATATTCAGAAGACCAAGACCCAGCACCAGGATCTCACTAGCAGATTCTTTCTCTTTCAGAGAAAGGCCCCAAATGTCCGAGACTGGCAAAAAGATGCTCTTAGGAAGCAGCAGCAACACAAGCACGTCTCTGAGAAGCCACGGGTTTGCACTACTGGTGAGGTTGGTGGGGGCTGACTGAGGAGAAACTGAAACACTGAAGCCGCTGCTGCCACCACCGGCTGATGCAAGTTTTATTGAGACAATGTACAAACAGGCCATGGAGACAAGGGTTTGATGCTGGGACCAGTAACGTAAAATAGAATACAAAAATAAAAAGGCACTAATCTGTTAAGAAAGGACACTCAATGTATTCTAAGAATATAAGTCATTTAATACTGTTAATTTTATAGCACAAAATAAAACAAGCTATGATCCCAAAAATAATTTTAAAAGCTTACACAGAAAATATTATTGCCTGAAGTTTATGATTTTTAAGTTACAGGTCAAAAGAGTTTTACATTGTTGTTGTTTTAAAACACACAGTGAAGACCGTCTAGAAGCAAGGCCACTGTTCCTCCTGCAGGGACAACGATCCTGTCTCAGAGAACTGTCCTTCTACTTCTTTTATAACACACAAACAGCTCAGTGTTCACACTGACAGCAGTTACTGGCGACATGGCTCTCCAGTCCCAGAGGATGGAGTTTGAGGCAGAGCTCAGTGGTGTCCACAGAAAGCATTTAGTCTTAGAAACTGTGTTACAACAATCAAGAATTCACTCATTTAAGAGGTTAATGAACATAATATTAAGGATTAAATTATACACACCTGGCACAAAAACACATCATCCCTTTTCAAAAAAAAAAAAAAAAATGTTCATAATCCTCTGAGCAAAGTCACAAGAGCAGTTGGCCGTTCACCTCGGGCCTGCCTTGTCTGTAAACAGCTGTGAAGGAAGGCCAGGGGCACGAAGCTCCAAGCAGGGGCAGCAGTCTTTTCCTCCTTCCCTTCAGCATATGAGGTGTCAAGTCTGGGTGACCAAGGTCATCTAACAGGTGGTCAATGCTTCCTTTTTGCTAAACATGTCATTAGGTGGTGCCATGCAGCGCAGAAATGACAAGGAAGTCTCCTGTATTGGAGGTTCTTCCCAGGACAAGCAAGTTTTTAATCAGAATGTCAATGCCCCCTATATATAATTTGTTTCATTTCCAGGTGAAAAACCATAGCGAGTTAATTTAACATCCAGATATTTTCTATACACAGTTGAGCAGAGCAAGTAGCAACAATGAACAATCATAAAAGAAAGCCTGCCCCTGGCTAAAATTCACACTGCTGTATGAAGCATGAATCTCTTCCTAGACCAGCAGGAAGCTGGGTATGAAGTCCATGCAGGGATGCTGCTTTCTATTATTTAGTGTGAAAGAGGAATTTCCCTGCTTGATTAAAAAACTGATAAAGTTCTAAGTCAAAAATTACTACTTTTGGCACATCCTCTTGAGAGTTCAGAACTCAAGGCTCAAGTTATGCCAAGCTCATAATCTCCCAGGCAGCCCTGGAGACATTTACATGGGCTTAAAGTAACTCATAAAACCAAACTCTAGGTTTATCTGGTGTTTTGATTCTCAAGTGCTCCACAAGGGGTGGATCAGCAGCCCTGGCTGACATCCCACCCTGCATTCCAAAATGGCCACTGACTGTTTGTACTGTAAGCCTTCTGTTGTAATCAAAAGGTGTCAAGAAATTCAACTCAATCTGGTTTAGAAAGGCCTTAGGGCCCATGCCCTCTTTGAAGAAGACATGTATTTCACTTTATTTCACTGGGTATTTCACTAATACCCAGGTACAAGTAACAACCAAGGCAGGGATGAACCAGGTTACTACCAGAAGGTAAGCACTGTTTCTAAGAGTTTGGAGACTCTGTCACATGTCTACCACTTGTGGGTATCAGGCTGAGCCTGCAAGAGAACAACCCCACTTAACAGACCTTGGCAGAAAAGGCAAGAGCAAGAGGACTGGCTTCAGCACAGAAGGTGGCAACACCTTTCATTGGTTAATGAAACATGGAGCTCTATGCCTTTTTTTTTTTTTTTTTTTTTTTTTCATTTTTATCGGTACCGGGGATTGAACTCATGACCGCCTGCTTGCAAGGCGGGTGCGTATGCTGCTGAGCTAAATCCCCAGCCCCCTCTATGCCTTTTTTAAGAAAACCACATATAGGCAGCTGAGGTGTTTCTTCCAATTCACCATGATTTTGCCAAAGGAACGCTCTCAAGATTCTTTAAAATGGCAGTTATCAACCTGACAAAATATCAAGTTACAGAGAAACTAAAAAAATAAATAGAAATATCATGGTTTTGCTGGTTCTGTCACCAGAATACATTGCTTCAATCCTCAAAACCTCCAAAGACAGGATCACAGTTGCAGCAGACGCTTCATAAATGTTAGAATTACTTTCTAGGTTGTTGCTACATTTCCAAGTTTGATGTATTCATATTGAGCTGAGGGTAGTCTTCACCAAGGTCCCAAAAGGAGAATGGACTGAACTATATAGGTTCCAGAATTCTAGACTGCCATGTGCAGATGAGGGACTGGTCACACGTTTGTACCAGCTGGCTTGTAAAAACAGTCCCCTTTCAGCTAAGAGAAAAATGTTTTCAGATTAACAAATTGATGAGTGGTTAATGGTAAATTGGTTAAGGGTTCTTCCTATTCACTACAACACTACATCTCAAGTGTACTAACCAGTTTTCTGAGCTTGCATTTCCTTTACTTGGGAACATGGAACCAGCATGAACAGCACCATCTTTCTCTGGCAGCATGAGAACTGGGGTGGGCTTCTGCAAGGAGATCGAATGATCCAGTTTAATGATTCACTAATGAATCTAATGATCCTATGAACAACCTAAATTTTACAAGAAACTTTAGTCCTATATCTTAAAGGGATATGTTTACTGAAAAGCTAGAGAAGAAACTAGCTAAGTGCTCCCCCCCTCCTCATTGCTTCTGTCACTGGCAAACAAGATCAGTAAGCAAAGGTTTCCCAGAATCACCCACCACTCTCATGCTTTTGGGACACAGTAATCCAAGAGGCTGTGTGCAAAGCTTGGCACACTATGACTGCTGATTTTGTGTTTGCTACATGGCAAAACAGGGTACGACTGGCAACCAAGACAGTAAAGGCCTCCGCTTCAGAGTTGTTCTTTCTATATTCTTTTAGTTACAGCAGCTTCAGTATAGAAGCTCAGAGGCACATGTCATTCCTTGGGCTATCACAAAAATCCAACCTGCTACTCAAAAATCTGTTCAGGACACATCTTCCAAAACCAAACCAAAACAAAGAAAACGCATAGAAAAGCCTTATGTGAGGGATTCAGGACAGAATTCTCTCTTCCTTATGGTTCCTCTGTTGTCCAAGGAAAAACGAGTTGGTGGCAGAGTCACTGCTCTTTGAAACAGCAATAAGACAGGATCTTGCTGTGGCCTCAAGCTTTCTCTGACGAACGTGACAAATTGGTACCAAGTACAATCAGGGTAGGGAGGAGAAGGAAGACCTTTTCCTTGTCAACTTCTCTCCACTTGTGTGCTTCCACCAGTATTTCCAGTTTGTTATCCAGAAGAATTCTAAAACCGGCTACTTCTTTGACGATACGACTATGATACAAACGCCAGAAGGCAGCCGCTGTGTGCATTCCAAATGTGGATGAGAGACCTCCAGCCTGCAGAAAGCTGGACGCTGGCAATGCAGTGTAACTTGCCTATGAGAGAGAATGCTTTTCCACTTCAAGGAGACTATGACAGGCAGAACAACAAAGCAGCTGGAAAACAGGGCAATAGCAATCACTCATTTTCATCTGGGTTTTGAGGGTCAATGATTTTGACATGCGTAAAGGGGAAAAGCCCTTTGCGCCCATTCACCTCGCCTTCCCACTGGCCATTTATATTCATCCTTGTGACTTTTACAATGTCACCAACCTGCAGGAATGGAGAAAAAAAGACAAAGTTAGTAATTACTTAGGAACAGGTCAGTTTTTTTGTTGTTGTTGTTTGAGACACAGTTTCACTATGTAGTTCAGGTTAGCCTCAAACTCGAGGCAATCCTCCTGCCTCAACCTCTTGAGTGCTGGGATTTATAGGTATGTGCCACCATGCTTGGCTTGATTAATTTTTTAAAGACTATTCAATTTCTTGTCCCAGTGTATGACCTAAAAATTATGCAATGCTAAAGACACAATGAGCCCAATACATTATTTAATTGGCAAGAATGCATACCAGAAGCAGCTTCTGAGCACAAAGCACCCCCTGCTCAATTGGCTACTAAACCCAACAAGAGAGAAATGAACACTTGACTCTCATTCGTTGAAATCACATCACACAAAAATGTGTACTAAAAATCTAGCTAGGCATGATGCACACTCTCTTTTTTTTTTTGTCTTTTTCCTTTTTATCGGTACCGGGGATCCAACTCACGACTGCCTGCTTGCAAGGCAGGCGCTTATGCCGCTGAGCTAAATCTCCAGCCCCATGATGCACACTCTTGTAACCCCAGCACTCAAGAGGTTGAGGCAGGAAGATCTGTGCCTAACCTGGGCTACATAGGGAGACACTGTCTCAAAAAAAAAAACCCAAAAAAACTATCAAATTAAAAGGAAAGGAAAAGGAGAAAAGGGAGGAATAAATTCTACCCAAATTTACATGAGATACAACTGTTATTATCAAAGTCCCTGGGCAGTAATGATGGCTCCAAGTTATCCATTCCCCTATCCCCTTTGTGGGGCAATTGTTGGGTTTCGAAGTCCAGCTCTGAGCATTTTAAAACCACAGGGTGGGGAGAATTTATCTATTGCCAGAGCATAGGTAACAGTTAGAGGATGATCTGCTCACCAATGAAAAGCAGGAATTTTATTTTGGAAGTGGTTTTCAAAACCACAAAGCTCAGGGGAGTTGCTTTAAAGGTCCAACAAATGTCTGATTAGGATCTTTTTAATATTTTTTTTGAGACAGGGACTATGTAGTTCAGGCTAACCCTGAACTCACTATGTAGTCCAGTGCTGGCCTTGAACTCAAGGTATTCTCTTGGCTCAGTCTCCTGAGTGTTGGGATAACAGCCATGTGCCACCACAACCAGCATGCTATTGTCATTTATTTTTGCCTATTGTAATAGTTCCACTGCTTTTTAAAGTCATTTTTAGGGCTAGAGGTATACATGTCTCAGTAGTAAAGTGTGTACTTAGCACACTCTAGGCCAGTGGTAGCACACCTATGGCACACATGCCATCTTAAAAGTTCTAAAAGTTTCACCATCATTGCTCTAGACCCTTGGTTTAATGCCGACCACTACTAAAAAAAAAAATAATAATAATAAAAAGCAACTTTTACAAATCGTAACTTATAAAATGCATTTGTATTTATAGCCCAGGATTCCATATAATATTTTGTTTAGAAGAAAGGGGGCTTCTGCTAAAGATACCAGTTTAACATCCTCCTCTCTATGAACTCAGGGGCTCTTCACTGAGCTATACCCCCAGTCTTTTATTTTTATTTTGAGATAGGATTCTGCTAAATTGACTCAGACAGGGCCCAAACTTTTGGAGGCACATTTAGAAGTCTACCTGCCATAGCTGGGGGCCGTGCAGTATGAACAAGCCTGGTAACAAGGGCACTGTTGGCTTTCCCCTTGCCACTGTGTTGTTGTAACAGAGAACTTAGGAAGAGCCACACTGGACTTTCCTGGTTTCTAGTAAGCTGCTGTGCTCTGAGGACTGGACTCCAGGTGCTCAAAGGGCATATATTTAATCTGCCATAACCAAGTCTGATAACTGGTAGAAAGCAGAAAAACAAATCTTATCTTCCTAAACATCTTGCTCCAAGCAATCTCTAACCTCTACTTGGGTAAATTCATCCACAAAGCCTAGAGACTATGAAAGGGCCATGCCTCCTGCTAACCACTATATCTGGTTCCCCCAGTCTTTACGAGCTCAGCCACATGCAGCCCTGAGCCACCTACTGCTATCTATGTTATCTCAGTCTAATCATCCTAACTCCTCTCCACCCATACTCTGCCTACTGCTTCCATTTACCTTCTGATGGCCCAATCACAGTGCTCACTTTCTGTGGCACTCAGAGGCTCTGTGCACCCACTCCTTTCCCTTGCCTGCCCTTCTTCAGTGTGATACTCTTAAAATAATCCTGCCAGGTAGGCACATCCTACCAACATTTGTGGAAAGCAAGCCTCTGTAAGATGAGCTGAACTGTTCTTCAGGCTCCATCTCTACTTTTGCACCATTACCTCTTCACCTTGGAAGAAAGGAACCTGCTTTGCGCTTTCTATACTCCACGTATGTTACAAGTATCTTACGAATTCCTCTGTGGGGAAGTCTGCAGCATCAGGAGAACAAGAAAACTTCTAGACTGATACCTGAAGATGCTAAGGTGTTGGTTTCTATGAGGAGACAGGTCCTAAAAATGAAGTGCGGTGGATAAAAAGAAAACAGGAGAGAGGCAAAGTTATGGGATCAAGGGGGCAATAATCTTTAGGACTGAAGCCCTGATTACATTTTTCTCTACCTTTTTATTAGAGTCTTTTCTTTTACATAGAACAGAAACAGATGTTGGAAGGATAAAGTTTAGATAAGTGGTAACTTAATTGTTTAACTATTCCAGGGACCATCTCTGGCTATGTCTGGCCTTCATATTTACTGTTCTTTTGAACACATCTCGTGCTGTTCCAGCAGCATTTCACTGAGAATCAAGGTTCTGTACTCATTACCTTCAACACAATGCATTTGTAAGATTTTCTCCAGTAAACAATCATAAGGCCTAGTATAGCACAAAGTCTCTGGGGTGATCAAAGGTTAAACTAGTTTAAGTTAATCTGTTATCCACAGTGAGGTAGACAGCTGAGCAGAGAACCATGATTCTGGAGGAGAGATGTAGCAGATGCAAGGGGCTAAGGACAGTAAGACTGACCTTTCAGAACAGAAACAGAAACAGGTCTTTTCTCCACCCTCATGCCCTTTGCGCTAACTAACTAACTCATGGCCTGTGCTCACTAGGCAAGCATTCAACTCCTGGCCATTTTTAAAACATAAGTTTATTTTGAGATAGAGTCTAAGTTGCCCAAGCTGACCTAAAAACTGTGATTCTCCTCCCGCAGCCTCCCCAACAGCTGGGATTATAGCTGGCTATTCTACCTTTGTTTGTTTGTTTCTTTCTTTTTTTAAAGACAGGGTCTTGTATAGTAGCCCAGGCTGGCCTGGAACTCACGCCAGTCTTCCTGCCTCAGCCTCCCAAGTGCTGGGATAACGGGCTTACACCACTGCATCTAGCTAGCTGCCTTTTTTTCCTTTGGTACTGGAAATCAAAGTCAGAACCTTGCACTTGCCAGGCAGGCACTTATAACTCTGAACTATATCCCCAGTCCCTAGCTGCTCCACTTTTAAAACTCTCTCTAACCGAAGAGGGTTACATGAGAGCAGTATCAAAATTTTGATCTTCAAGTCTATCTTATCCTGGCTCCTGCCTCTTCCCATTTCTTTTTATTTTTTTTTTACGGTACCGGGGACTGAACTCACGACCTTATGCTTGCCAGGCAGGCACTTACACCACTGAGCTAAATCCCCAGCCCAGCCTCTTCCCATTTCTAGCCTCATTTCATACCAATCTTCTCCTTCCCTCTAATCACACTGTCTTCTTTTCCACTTCCTCAACTTCCAAACCTCTTTTCCATATATAGGCTATAAGACAGATCCAAGGACACGATATACTGCAAGTATCATTCTTTTAACATCACAAGACGTGAAAACACACATTACAGGCTTTTGGCTATAATATCCAAGCTGGTACCAAGGAAATACCAGACTTCCATTCCTACACTTGAAAAAAATGTTAAGCATCCTTAAGAAGTCTAAATAATGGGATATGGTAGTGCACACCTGTAATCCCAGGAACTTGGGAGGCCGAGGTAGGAGAATCTCCAGTCTACATGAACTTGGGCCACTTAATGAGACTCTATCTCAAAATAAAAAAATAAAAAAGGATGGAGATATAGCTCAGGTTCTGGTTTCAATATCTGGTACCATACAGACACAAATCCTAAAGACTACTCTTACTCCAGCCTTTTAAAGCTACAAGCACATGATGGCCCTTTGACAGTAACAGTACCCAATGCAGTGTTTATTCTGCTTAGCATCCTGGGCTATGTTGTTTGTTTACTTTAGAGACAGGGTCTTGCTTTGTAGTGCAGGCTGGCCTCGACCTTGCAGTGATCTCCCTGGCAATCTTCCCGCCTTGGTGTCGTGAGTGCTGAGAATACAGGGATGTGCCACCACACCCAGTTAAGCTCTATGTTCCATATTGTATAGTCTAGATAAAGACACAATTTGAGTATCAGATATAACTAACAACAGAGATCTAAGATCTGCAACAACAGGATCCGTCTACTTAAAACAGGTATAAGTAGAATAGTGGTCCATGCCACAAACTTTGGAGGGTGGCAGACTGAACAAATATTCTGGTTCTGTCATTTTTAGTGACTTCCATGACTGTGGTGAAATGCTCAAGTGGCTTTAAGTCTGTTTCCTTTTGACTTTGGAAGGTTCTTGTAATACTTAAATGAAGTATCACATAGGAAAGTCTCAGCCAGAGTAACTATGAAGTAAATGGCAGCACTACAAGACCAATCTTGCTCCTTCCTCATCTTCCTTCCCTTTTTCTCACCTCTACTAAGCACGCCTTTGAAAACACCAAGGGAAGATCTAGGATCAGCATGGCACATTAACTGGTGGATTTTGAACAGGGTCCTCTAAAAACCGATGCAGGGACAGGAAAAATATCATTTTAGAATGAAAGATGATGGGGAGGCCTGAAAAGAGGGTATATGAGTTACTGTGATGGATACAGCAGCTGAGACAGACAATGGGAAAATGGAGAAAAAGGTGTGCCAGGTATTAAAGCCTTCTGAGAACACGCACTTT